ATCGCTCATCCACTGCTACTCTGATGGAGAGAATTCGAAGAGAGTAGGAGATTGCGTGAGGAGAGTCTGGCTGCCCTGACGAAGCTGGAAGCCTGAACACTCAATCTGTTGTGATGATGACATTCACACAACTCCCTGGTCATCAGCGAAAGTTGGCCGCCGTTCACAGGCCGAGGATCTGTCTTCCACAGCGCAAAACGCAAAAGTCGCCGTGAACGACGAAGGGTTACCTCCGCCGGGTCGTTGTGGCTTGTTCCCGAAGGCGTTCTTTGCCACGATCCCCGGCCCGGCAGTCCCAAAGACTTGTGCCCCCGTACGAAATTCGGCTTTCGCTTTCGGAAATCGAAGCCCCGGGGACAAACGAGGCCATTCAGTGTCAGTTCCGCAGCTCTGTGCAGAAAGTCTTGCTGGTCTCCAATTTCTCCAGTATCAAAATGCATGCAGCCGAGAGAAGCTAGCTCCGGAGGTGAGCGAGAGCATTTGAGAGCATATGATTGGCCAGATTGCCGTAAATGCGGTTGCGGCGCTGCTGAACTGCAAGCGCTGCCCAATCACCGGCTCTTTGAACCGGATGAAACTCCTCTCCGCAGACAGGGACAGCCCAGTGGAAATCCCAATCGCATCTACAACACAGACATCGAGGCTCAACACCACAGTCGAGGTATCCAGATGTGACAACTTCGATATCAAAGTCCTGCTGCTTTGCGACCCAAATTGTTACCTCATTGCTAGGGTCCGGGGAATATTTGGTTCTGGACCTTCGACGCTGCGCGCCAAAGCCTACCACATGCAGTTGAAGGTTTCCCTATCCCAACGACCAATCTGTACGACATTATCGGCATCAACGATTCAACACACCTTCTCGAACTCAGCTAGTACATGAGGGCCAACAGAGGACAGGCCGAGGAGCATGGCCACAAACGATGCGCTGCATCTGCCAGATCAGAAACGCCCGCTTGAACAACATCTCAGCCTTTTTGTGGCGGTCTTAGTCTATAATCATGCTGTGCTGCCATCACCAGATAGGCAGTATGAGGCTGTAACCATAGCAATCCCGGGGAAGTTTCAAAGTCGAACCCTCGACTGCAAAAGCAGAAGCAGCGCCCTGTATCACCATGGCTTCTGTCTGGGATACACTGACACTGTACCTCCATGGGATGGCCGGTGGGCTATGCCCTTTCAAGCGAATTCATGCCATGCTCGTCATCGTCGTCGGTGCGGTGAGGCTCAAGGGTTCCGTGTGATCTGCGTAACCTGCGTCACTCACAAGTTGTATGTACTCAAATTATTTCCCAAGCTCGCGCTTGCTACCGAGTACTTGGTAACATCTGACTTTCTGGAAAATAGGTAAATACAACACGCCGATACAAAGCTTGCGCTTGGGATCGGCCCGCAATTTGACCTCCACTAACACCCCCATACTTCCAGCTCTTCATGGGTTCGGTCCTCCATGGGATCCATGGGATACCAGCAAAAACTATGCCGTCGACGGGGGCTATGCTGGCTATGATATGCGTATTACATAATGCCGGGTAGATCCCGTAGTGCGACGTATATCAGATATCATGATGTTTTTGATACAAGTACCAATACCACGAATATCTGACTCGAGATGGTGAACATGTCAAGGGTTCTTGGACTTTCACTTTTCAGAGTTCCAAACCCGATAAGCGGCGTCTACGCGTTTAAGTCTCAAGATGCTTTGAAATACCGCTATATGTTGGGAGATGTTTAACATTTCATGACGCCGGCGGTGCTGAGGAGAATCACCCAAGACCTCGAAGCAAATGATCCAATGCCCTAGCCTGAGCGATAAAAAAAAATTGTCGTCAAGCAAGCCATTATCTTTCACTTCACCATTGTTCCAAAAAGCCGGGCAACAGTTCATGATGCCGGAGAAGACCTCGTGTTGCCAGATCCCAAAAATGAAAAATGTTTGGCAGGGAACCCTTTCCAATTCTTCAACAGCCGCAGAGCACAGACCCGCAGATCTAACCCCTTGTTCAGAAGCGAGACTTCAGGTGCACGCTGACGACCAAAAAAAGAGAAAAAAGATAATGTCCCCTCGACCGGAATCGAGCCGGTGACCTTTCGGTATACAATCTAGACAATTACAGCCGAACGTGATATCCAACTACACCACAAGGGGATTTTTAGGTTGTTGAGCAACGAGCTGGATTTTGGAGGCTATATCACTGCCTCAATGTACAAATGGTATATCGTCCAAAGACGCAGACCACGCACGCGGGGATGGACGACCAGAAGTCTCATGTTACCCGTTGGTCAGGTTGATGCTCGCACTTATCGGAAAAAATGATCTTACGGGACTCATTGGCATGCTCAAAATATTTATCATTAAATATTGCATTCCCTCGTCGAGAACCAGAGCGGACCAGATCCAAAAAGCCGAAGGGAAAGAGGACAGAAGATAGGGAGATACAGTAGTTTGTACGTACGCCAAACTTCTCAGTCTATGCATTTTCCATTTCCACGTCCTCCTGTTTGACCTCGTCCTTCGCCTCCTGCTTGTCCTCATCCTTGACTCGCTCGACAGCATCCTGGCTCCCTGCTACCGTCGCCGTAGCAGGGTTTTCTTCCTTTTCACTCTTGGTGTCCTTCTTTCCCTCTTGGTTCTGATCCACCTTTTCCTTCTCCTCCTCATCCTTGGGCACGGCCCTCATCAGCCAATTCATCATGCACCAGACGAGCTTCATGGCCTCCACTCTGTCCTCAGGCTTGAAGAGGTCAAACCACTTGCTTCTCCTCACCTCTAACTTCCCCCAGCTTCGCTTCCCGTCTTCAAACTCGTGCTCGGCGCGTCCCTCCAAAACAGCCATTAGCTGATCCGGCACCCGCACTCTTACAATGCTGATGTGGTGATACAGGGCACTGACCACAAAGATGTCATCGTACTCTGCGCCTGCAGCTCTTCCAATGGCGGCGTACTTGGCCTTCTTGTCCCAAGTCAGGGCCGGAGGGCGAACCATGCGGTAGTTGTCGTACATGGCCATGTTGCCCGACTTCTTCAGGCGCTTGACGCCCTTGGCTGGTCCCGAGCTAGACTCCTTCTCTCTTTCCGGGAGACGTGTGCTGGGCAAGGGGCCGAACGGGGAAGCGCGGGAGGCAAGTCGAGAAGAAATGGACACTTTCGCGGGTTTTTCGGCAGGAGCAGCAGCCGTAGCAACAGCAGCATCAGCAGCCGGAGGGGGCGCGTCCTTGTCTCCAACGAGTGTATCGTCGCCACTGGTCTGCTGTTCAATCTCACGGCCAATGGGGCCACCGGGGCCACCACCCCATCGAGGCTTGGTGCACCACCAGGCACCTTCGCCAATGCGCTTCTCGGTGCGACCCTCGCGGGCGCGGTGCTGGGCCGTTACTAGCGCGGCAACCAACTCGCGGCCCAAATCGAAGACGTGGTCCGGATCGGTGGAAGACTCGTTCGGGTCCTCGGGTGGGGGCGGGAAGCCAGTGGAATGCCTGGCACTTACGGCTGCCACGGGTCCTTCGACAATGCCGGCGCGGGCTTCTTCCCTGGTGGTCGGGGTCTTGTACATGAAAGTGCAGCCGGAAGAGAAGTAGGAGCTACGGGCAGACGAAGGATTGCGAGAGGTGATGTGCAGCCTCGGCTCAGCACGAGCCGGCGCGGTGTTACACCCAAAGTCGTACGCGACAAGCTTCAAGAAGGTTTGCACCATCTGCTGGCGAAAGTCAGGGGGCATCTGATTGCCCGCGCCGGTACGTCGAGGCTTGGAGGCCAGAGCGTCCTTGTCTTCTTCTTCGCCTTCCGGGGCTGGCTGGTCTACTACGGAGGTGTCATCCCAGTAATTTGAGAGCATGTCGAGCTGACGGAAGAACTCGTAGCAGTTTCCCAGCCGGGCGTGGCTCTGGCCCTTTGGAGGCTGGATGCGGCGAACAGTCCGGTAGCCGGTCTCATTAGGAAACAACAGCTCACGCTTACGCTCCAGATAAGTGTTGCAGCCGGGAGAGCGGTTTCCCGAGACCAGTGGGACCCTGGTGCTCTCGTTCGCCTCGTGGGCCGCATCAGATGACAGTTCCTCCCAAGCAGCGAAATCCGGGATATAAGACGGATCAGGGATGAGGTCGGCTGCCGTAGAGTTTGGCACTACATGGACTCCGAGGGCCTCAAAATGGGCAATGGCCAGCTGGGCTGGGCGGACTATGCCCTGCAACAAGGTGACGACCGACTTTGGTGTTTCGTCTGCGGCTCCCGGTGCTATTTGTTGGTCATCTTGGACTTGGGGGTAGAAGCGCGGAAAGTTGACGGGCGTGGGCGGAGGAACGTCCTTGGGCGGCCCTTGAGGCGCTGTGGCCAGGGGAACTAGACGAAATTGTTAGAACAGCTCCGCCAGAGGATTTATATACAGCAAAGAACGGGAACTGAAGAACATACTCAAGTGGGCAAAGTTACCAAACATGTTGGCTACTGTAGTACGAGAAAGAAGCGGCGGTGGGAAGACACGGCAACGGAACCGGACCTATGGGTTCGGCGTCGGTGATGAGCGGAAGACGCTGCGCGGGCAACCGACAAGCTAGAATTGGGCGGGCACCGTGACGCGGAGCCGGGGCTTTGAGTTGACCACCGACTAAGGCGGCTGTCGTGCTCTTTGTTGCACAAGAGCGGCGGCGGGAAACAGGTAACGGGAGATGTTTGTGGAGAAAGGAGGGGATGTTGTTGTTGGTGTAGAGAGAGCTTTGAGATGGAAGAAGATCACCGAAGAGAGTGTCGCCCTGGGCCTCGTACCCCTGGAGCTAACCCTGGGTGATTTGAGGTGCTCGAGGTGTTCGATGTGCTCTGGGCGTGTCTGGCTCGATCGCCTGGGGTTGTCCGGCCGCCACGGGGACAAGCCGGTTCGGACGGAATTCGTGGTCGAATGATATCCAATTTGGGAAGCTTGTTTGGCCGCCCAGTCACCCACAATCACCCAGTCTCCGTTCCGCTAGCGCAGCGGGCCGTTAACGTTACGTTGGCTTGGATGATCATGATTTGGTTTTTGTTGCCATTCCGTCAAGGAGAAGGTGACGGTGAGGGTTTCCACGGTTTCCATAGAGACGACCCCGCATACGTTGCAAGCAATCAATGGGGTCAGGGGTTCAAGGGCCACAGCGCCTGCCTGTTTGGTGGTTCTGGAGGTGGCCGGGCACAGGGATCACCGCCGTTCGGGAGCTCTTCCATGTTCCGCCTGCAACGGACCTGCAACCCCGCCCGCTTGTGTACAGTGTCGGGACTGGGCTGACGCTGCGAACCATGACGGCGTCGGCAGCCCACAGGAGGTCTGTTCCCGGTCGGTAGACGGTAGAGTTCCGTGCCCGTCCATTGCCCGGGACACCCCGACTTACACCTCGATTTCGGTGTTCCGCCCCGAGATGCGCTTCCGGTTCGGCCACCGTACGCCGGCCCTGCAGTATGAAGATAAGTAATGCTCATGGTTGCTGGTCCCGCTCGAATCTGTTCCCCTTGACGGGAGCAGCCCTGGCGGGTACCTGAACGGCGCAATTTTACAATGCTGCCAATGGATTCCACTGTGTTACAAGCAATCCCGATGCAGGCGACCGAAAGCGTCATGGCGCCGTGCGTCTGCCCCGTCCCTTGTCCGCCCACCGTTGACCGTTCATCTCCTCGTTCGGCATCATCATCCTCCCCGCTTCCGAGGCCCGGTGAAGGTCAGATCTGGTCGAGAAGATTGTGTTCATGATGGACGCAAAAACCGCAAGCGAGGAATAATAGGTATTTTCACTTGCGTTATGCAACCGCATCAGAGATCAGGTACTAGAGCTACTTGCTCCGAAGCCGAGTGCCTTCATACCTACCAACTGTGGCAGGCTGATGACTTTCCTCTTCTTGTCAGTCTGGGTTGAACGGTTTGTACATGCTTGGGCTCTTTCTGCTACTCAAGTCTCATCCACTGATTTTCTCTAGCGAACAATCGAGGTGTCATGGTAGCAGCTGACCAGTGGCTTTCCGGCTTCAGACATGTTTTCTTGGAACATTCACGATGCTACTCTCAACACCAAGGAGTGTGCTTCAGGAGTGTCGCAAGACAGGGGTTTGCCCGTCTAAGCGACACCAATATGCGCTTACCCCTTGATGTTAGAGCCGCGTTGACGACAGCCATGGTTCGTCTCGACCGTGTTCTCGGTGTTCGTGAGCCGTGCTGTTGTTCCCATCTCGGACATCAGATCGCTATTACACTTCCGATCTGCCAATCAAAGTACATGGGTTCTGTTCTCAAACACACCTATGCTTCTTCCTACCTCATCATGCCACAATACCATCACCAGAGGAGCAATGAGGAGGCTGGCTCGGTTCCAGTGCGTTGCCGAGGGAAATGGGTTGCTTGGGTGAATACCCATTTCTGTCGTCCTCGAGCCATCAAGTGATGATCTGCTCTGCGACATTCCAAGTTTTGCTTGCTTAATGACCATCTTCCTCGCCTTTCGCAAAGGGTTCATGATTATATCGACATAGACAGGCTCTCGAGGCCCAATAATTCTCTTCGTTCACCTGGCGTGTCATTTTTATCCATCATACCAATATTAATTTTCTTTCTATTGTTTGCGACTGGATTCGCCAGAAAGGGAGGTACAGAGATCGATTTCCAGCATGTCATCACCCAACAATCCCTCAGCAGCAAGGTCGTTTATCTTCACGACTACCGGAGGCAAACGATGTACAGCAATACTCAAAGTTGTCCAATCCAGCAATGTCCGAACGACCACGGACCGTAATCCTCGGTTGCCGGCGACAACGACGACAGCGGCAACGACAACGATAGAAGCGACAACAAGGGAGGAAAATCCGGTTCCAATCAACACCAATACGAGCCCCCTTCCGCCGCTTGAAGACAGTCTATTGCCCAGTTCAACGAGTACGACGAGCATACCGGCCGCAACATCCATCATAACTATCACGAGCACCTCTTCGCCTTTGTTCTTCACATCGTCACCGGGAGCTGAGGAGACTTCCACGGGCCAGGAGATTGAGACTTCATTGGGAGCAAGCATTGTCAAAGTAACAGCGTCAGAAATATTCCCGGATGTCGCGGTAGCAACGCCTTTTGCTAGCACAGTTGCAAGCCTCCAGCCATCCTCGGCCAACAATGCAGTACAGTCCACGGAAACCCCGAGTATAATTCCCACTATAAGCTCAGTTCCAACCACCAACAACAGTGAAGCCGCGAAGGTGGCTGGAGGTGTGCTCAGTGGTCTTGTGGTTCTCAGTCTCATCGGACTCTTTCTCTGGCTGTGGAGACGACGAAGGTTGAACAAGAGAAGGAGCACCCTTTTGACTCCTTTGGGTCCTGGTCCTGGTCCTGGTCCTGGTACAGACCTAAATGAAAAGACACCTTATATCATCAGTCGACGTAGCATTGGGCCAACACCGGTGTTCGTGAAGGCAAAAGCCGCTCTGGGTTACAACGTGAAGAAGATTCGAGAGTGCATTAGTCAAGCCTTTTCGGAACCCAGCATCCGGCTGTTATCGCCTTCAAACCGGCCGCAATCTAAGGGACTCCTCAACGCACACAGTCGAAACCCCTCGCTGGTTTCTACCAACGAGGCCGGAGGGACGAGGTCGGTGAAGGACAGCATATCGAACTGGTGGTCTCGAATAACAGCCCATATACACATCAGCAAGCGACTACGCATTACTCGCAACGATGAGGTTGGGCAAGACAGATATTCCGATCCGGAAAACACAAGTGAAAGGAAGGCCAGACTCAAGTACCAACCCGACTTTCTGACGTTGATAGCCATGGATAATGGTGATCTCGACCGAGAACCCCAAGGACAAGGACAGCAACATCTGAGCGTCACGCGCCAGGACAGTGGCAGTGGAAGCAGAGACAAAGTCCCTACAACACGACCACCGCACCTCGACGAGCGCGACAACCCCTTCAGAGTCAACAACACACTCAGCCATATATCAGCCATACCAGCGCCCCTAGCCGCCGGTCTTGGTCATTCCGACAACAACCCTTTCAGCGACCCTCCTTATCCTATCCGAAACCTTCACAATAACAAGGTCACCACAATCTCCAGACCGCCAACAGTAACCACCTACCGCGCCGAGGACCGCCGCCGCCGGCAGTCACGGGGTCAATCCATCAGTGCGAACACTACCAACCCGAGTCAACAGCCCAGCACCCGCACCTACCGCGAGAGCATCGACTCGTTTACGACTCATCGGAATAAATTCCGCTCCGATCCTTTTGACCTTGAACGCCCTGAGCTTCTGGGCGGTGCTCCGCAAGCCACGGCAAGCCAAGGGATATCAGCAGCAGCAGCAGCAGCAGGTCCTAGTGTTAGACATCCACCCAGTGCTCATACTCGCCAGGAGAGCTTGGGCCGCTCGTCGAGGTACTCGTACTCGAGCGGGGTGGTTAGTTTGGATGATGAGTGGAGTGATCCGGGGCCGGATGTTGGTCCTGCTTCTGCTTCTGCTGGGACTGGGAGTACTGGTGGTTATGGGAGGGTGAGGGGGAAGATTGTGGGACGGGCGATGTAGGGACTGCGTGGTTAGCGTCCTGTGGAATTCCGACGGAATTGTTCTCTTGTACGTATGAATACATAGTCTTCATTTTGATTATACCGCCTCGGATAGTTTTCCCTGGTCTAAAACATCTCTGGCGTTAAAGTTTGGGCAGGTCTGGTCTGGGTTCCGAAACGTGGTGCTGCTACTACAGTTGGGGCATGTGTCCCTCAAACAACATTGGATACGTTCGGTGATATAGGATGAGAAATGATTAAGAACGAGTCGTGACAGTTATTACATGTATACATATATCTCTCTAAGGAGGAAATACCAAACAGTGTTGCTATTAGGTATCTACCATCACCGTCTGAAAGGTAGGTCCTGGAACAATGTTCTATCACACTTGGTCGCATGGCTTTTGCGCTCTGCCACTCTCGTTGTGGTCGTACAAGCTTGCATCGTTGCTCCCTGAGTACCTGATTTTCAGGAGTGTGGAAACAGGTCCATCCATGCATGTTCCTAAAGCGACGATTCTAAAGAGGGATAAAAAAAAAAAAATTTGAAGATAAAAGAGCGAAAACACACGACAAATGCATACTGTGTGGTACCATGTGCCCAATGTGACTATATAAGTTCTAGTTCCGGAGACCATTCCCAACAACCTACTACGACAGCTGATTAACAGTTGTATATCTTCCGTAGTATAGTGGTCAGTATGTGAGCTTGTCAAGCTTGAACATCAGTTCGATTCGCTCGAGACCCGGGTTCAATTCCCGGCGGGAGAGACCTTGATTTTTTGCTTTTTTTCTCTCAAACCTCCACCTACGTGTTGTGTTTTATTTGTTTGCTTTCTTTATTTAGCATTTCCTTTTTTTTTGTTCGTTTGTTCATCATAATCAGCTGTCGTTTCCCTTCTTCTCAGCTGTTTCTCATCAATAATTCAGATCGTAGGACTGACATTCACCGAAGTACATCTTTCGGCTTAATCACCAATTCATCTGCCTCACTTTGTATTTACGTACTTGCCTACGATTACCACACTGAAGTCACTTATCCACGTAGCTTCTACCGGTACAACGTGTTTAAACAGAAGGTGCTATCAACATAAACTCCCGTTGTCTATCTTCATTCAATGCAGCTAAGTCGTTAACTATGATAATCGTACCACACCTCTCGATAGTCACATCGAGCCCGTTACACTACTTCACTCTGCCATAACCTCCTCTCCACCAATATGACATGAAACAGTTCATCTCATGACCACTCACTGCTCATCCTCGATCCTGGAGTTGTTCTTCGCCGAGATTTCAGCTGTGAGCTTCAACGCTCGTGGCGCATCATCCTTCGGCATCCACAACTCTACAAATTGCAAACCTTTATACTCATTGAAGTCCTTGTCTTTGAGGAGCTTCTCCAGCTCATCCTTTGTCTTGATGACGAACTTCTGGGCATGGCCTTCCTTCGCGCCGAAGACCGCGGGGATATCAGTGTAGTTCCAGCGGATGATATCATTGTAATCCGCATCCATGCCGTGGATATAGCGTTCGATGGTGTAGCCTTCGTTGTAGATGAGGAAGCTTGAAGGTAACTCAGTCAGTTGAAGCTCGTAAAGCAAACGTTAAACAAGATACGGGAAACGGAGACGGGAGCACTCACATGGTAACCCTCAGGTTATGCTTCAGCATAGTGCTGACTTCCTGACAAGTCAACTGGAAGCTACCATCACCCACGAACAAGATTGTTCGCCTATCTTGTTCCAGATCCTTCACTGCCAGTGCCGCACCCTGCGTAGCGCCTACCGACCAGCCGATACTCCCCCACAGTACCTGCGTCACGCCCATGACGCCCTTAGGGAACTTGCTTTCCCAGATACCAAAGTTGGATGTGCCCGTCTCGGTAACAACGACATCACCTTCCTGGAAGTACTCGCCGATTCTTGGCCAGAACCACGCCTGCGTGATGATCTGCGAGTCATCCTTGTTCTGAGCCACAGCGTTCTCGACCTGGGGAGAAGGTGTTATCGAGAGCTTGGACACGTCGATGCGCTCAGTGACCTTCCGGAGCACACCCCGCATTGAGACACCGGGGTATTCAGAATAGCGCACAGTGCAATGGTCGCTATGCAGATCGATGGTATTAAGTTGTGAGGTGTGGTACGAAAAGCCAGCAGTGTTGAAGTCACTCTTCATCGCGCCAATGGACAAAACCAGGTCAGAACCCTCGACGCGCTTAGCAACTTCGGGAAGAGACCCGATGCCAGCATAGACGCCACCGTAGTGCTCGGACGTCTCGTCAAAGGCACCCTTGCCCATGGGAGTAACAAACACCGGAAGCTTGGTCTTCTCAATGAGCTTGTTGACTTCTTCAGTGACTCTATGACGGATTGCGCATGCGTCAACAAGAACCACCGGATTCTTGGCTCCATGGAGATATTTGAGGACCACATCGACGACATAGTCCTCTCTGTCGGGATCATTCTCCGGCTCGGAGAGATCAATCTCTGTGTCCAATCTAGCGCCCTCGATCTTCTTCTCAACCATATCGGTAGGTAGCCAGATGTACACTGGCCGACTGCGGATCCAGCACTCCCGGATCGCATGGTCAATCTGGGAGGCGATCTCACTAGGTTTTACCAGCTTGGCAACGTCGCAGGAGATATGTTCGCTCATGTTGGCAAAGACGTGGAAGTCGCCGTTGCCGAGGGTATGGTGTAGGAGCATGCCATTGCGCTGGGAGATGGTCGAAGGGCAGCCAACGATGTGGACGATAGGGACGTGCTCGGAGTAAGCACCGGCGACACCGTTGATGGCGGATAGTTCGCCAACACCGAAGGTGGTTACGAGGGCAGAGATACCCTTGGCACGGGCGTAGCCGTCGGCGGCATAGGCTATAATCGTCTGATATCAGCGATTGTGCTTGTGGGAATAGAGAAGTAGACATACTCACCAGCATTGAGCTCGTTCACGCTACCAACCCATTTCAAACCGGCCTTGGGAACGTAGTCGAGAGCAACCAGGTTAAAGTCTCCTGGCAGGCCGTGGACTGAGCGGATGCCGATTTGATGCAATCTTCTAAAGAGATACTCGGCCACTGACACGGGCTTCTGCAAACTCTGTGTCCGGATGTCTGACATTTTTTGGTTGGGTTATGTGGAAGTTCTCGTGTATCTCGTGTGTTGCGGTAGGTTGTCAGATCCGGCCTGGCTTGTTTGCAATGTATTGTTGGGGTATATCGTGAGTCTTGTGTCGAATAGGATGGTGTGTGTAGGTGTAGGTGTCAGAGCAGCAGGATATAAGGGCAGCGAGAAGCGATGTTTAGTATGTGGAAGTTGAAGGTAAAGAGCTTGTTGGAGCTGTTTCTGTTGTTTATGAGGGGGGAGCATCGACTAGGTAAGTATGACAAGACGCATTGTCGATCGACGGGTCGGAAGGGCCCGGATACCACAGGGAGAGCCATGGTTCGTCCTTTCCACCGCAGCGCTGTCGGTATGAGTTGAGTGTCGGCGATAGCTGCTTCCTGTGATGTCATGGATTTGGTTGAAGTTGGTGGTGGGGTGAAGTATAAGTAGGTACATGCCGCTAGGTGGAGCTGCAGGTACGAGCAAGTAGTCTGAAAGGTACCTCTAGCTCCGCTACGTAGTACCTATCTCAATCATCTTCGACCCCTCATCCCTTTTACGACGGGATGTTAGCTCGCATTTAGACCTTCCACTTCGTAGTGTACAAGTTGCCCGAATGTCCTTGCAATGTTCATCCATCCCATACCGTCGCAAGTGTCGTTCCATCGCACTAGAAGCCTCTTATCCCTTTTCGCGTTTTTGTCACTCTTTCCAATTCACTGTGCTGACCGGGTAACCTGAGCTTGAGTAGAGATCCATACCATTGCGGTTATGATATGTAAGAGAAGGGGATATAGACTGGAGATACTTATGCAGAAAAGATACAACGCCAATGCTCCTTGCCATGCTGCGTATGCAAAAACACCATCGCCACCGCCATCTAAGAGCCAAATGTTTGTTGTGTACAACACTCCCTCACAGGGCTGAGATTTCTCGGGTCCCTGTGGATGCTGTCGGGGATTAATCACAGCTTCCATCCTTCCACCCAGTCCTCCACCTCTCCTGCCACTTGGAGCAGTCAAACGTTGGCTTGCCCAACTTCCTGTTGACTTCGTTGTGCGCCTCACAAAGCCAATTTCCGAACTCGTCCCTGCTACCCGTTTTCGGTTCTTCTTTCTTGATATATTGTTGGAAATCTTCGGCGCATACCCAGCAAGGGTACAGCTTTGCGAACAAGCCCATGAAGGACTTCAGATCGTTTTTTTCGGTTGGAGTCGGAGCGGGAGGGTAGGTTGCGGCGATCGAGTGGAGAAGAGTCCAGGTGCTCCGCCCGAGAGTCTCAACGTCGGCCGGGCAGTCTGTTCTCCTCTGCGGTAGGGTTGTGGTTGACGATGTAGCTGCCGACGCAATCGTAGAAGAAGGCGCGGTCGAGGAGGCATCGGGGTTGGTCTTTAGGGTGGCCTTGGCCTGGGACGCCCAGGCACCGAAGGAGGTGCAAGAACGGCAACTAGAGACTCTTCTTTAGCAACATGGTATGGACTCTGAGCTAAGTCTTCCATGTGAGAACCTACGGCTTTCCGTCCTTGCCCAGAACAACACCCTTGGGCAACTTCTTGGGGGGCTCTGTTGCGGTGCCATCTACCGGAGCCGTCGCTGTTGCTCCGGTTTGGGCAGGGTCATTGTCTGTAACCATTGTTAAACGTATCTGCAGGTAGCGGATGAGCGGTAGTTTCGAGGTTCAACGGTTGCAGGTGTGAATGCTTCCTTCGAGCCACTCAGGTATGTTTTTGTCTCTTGCGCCTCGAGGATTAGAAATCAACCGAACAGCATCGAACGGCGACTTGAACCGTACAACCCGGACGCCGTGATCCTTGTTCTCCGCTTATCGATAAACCATTGCCGCCATGCCGGCGCGCCCGGCCGGCAATAGTGGGGCGGCTCTTGCCGGTCGCGGGCCCCACCCCGTGACTACACATACGTAGTGAGAGGTACCGGTAGACCAGACGAAAGCTTCCCTCCTGCCCTTGCTCTGTGTGTCATTCCGTGGGAAGAAAAAGTCAACATGTCACAAAAGACGCCCGTTTTCCTGCTGAAGACAAAATCGACCCCTGGGGATTCGTACCAGGAGCAGTTCTCTTCTGAGACGGATGGCTTCAACTTCGAGCCCTTCTTTGTCCCCGTCCTCGAACATCGATTCAAGGACGAGGGCTTAGCTACGGTGCGCAACCTTCTCAAGACGAAAGCTATAGGAACTGGTTCCGACTGTGCCTATGGAGGTATTGTCTTCACCTCCCAACGCGCCGTTGAAGCCTTCACCCACCTCGTCCAAGAAGTAACAGGTAAGACGTACTGCATCCATTTCGAAAGGCCAAACCTCATAACAGCTGTGTAGGCGATGACAGATGGCCCCATCTCCAAGATATCCCTGTTTATAGCGTCGGCCCTGCGACAACGCGCACGTTGAAGGCAGTTCCCCAACAACCACCGCTCCAAGTCTTTGGTGAGCATACTGGCAACGGTGAAACATTGGCACCCTACATCATCGAGCACTATGGCGAATGGTATAAGGACAGGTCCACCAAGCCGCCGCTGTTGTTTCTTGTTGGCGAGCAAAGACGGGATATCATTCCCAGGAAGTTGATGGACCCTGCTCTACCATCGGACAAGTTCATTCGCATCGATGAGGTTGTCGTCTATGGTACCGGTGTTATGGAATCCTTTCAAGAAGATTTCACAAAGCTTCTCAAAGAGACCGAAGACCACCCTGCTAGATGGGTGGTGGTGTTCTCCCCAAGCGGCTGCGACGGCATGCTTAGTGCCCTGGGATGGTTGAACGAGAGCAGCGGCAGAGTGGGAGACGACTTCCGCCAGGAGGACCGTAAGACGTACATTGCTACCATCGGGCCGACAACTCGCCTTCATCTTGTCAAGAACTTTGGCTATGAGCCTGATGTCTGCGCGGAGCAACCCAGCCCGGAAGGGGTTTGGGAGGGCATCAGTAGGTTTTGGAACGAATCAAAGAAATAAACCTGGGCCATCTAGCGGTTAGGTTCAAAGCCATCCATACCACAGCAGGGTGAAAGATATCTTACTGCAGGGACAAAAGACAACCGTGGGCTACCTGCCCCGCAGGCTACACAAGTGGAACGCCCGCTGACAACACTAACAGACATTCAAACGTAGAGGTACCTGGACATTAAGCAAGCATGACCCCGCACATGTTTCCCCCACACATAGAGCGCTGTACACTCAATACAAGTGTGATACTGTAATAACATACATATCAGTCCTTAAAAGTTTGTTAGCGCGGTTTTTGTGACAGGGGTCTGCAAAACTTCACAGAAAAACAACGGGACAACCACATTCAAAACGGAAAATTGGATAAAGTGTATAAAGCCTCCAAAACGCATCTGGTTGATACCAACTTCTTGCATGAAATGTGGTGGAATGGTGGTTGAGTTGCGAAGAGTGCGTAGTGAAGTCCCGCGCTAACGAACTTTCCAGGACTGATGTGTAGTACGGGGTACCTGACATTGCTAGTGTAGAGCACAACCCTACACGGAAAGCAACGTCAACCCTTCTCGCAAGGTTCTCACACGGAAGCTTCCATGCGTCGTCATTCACAACACAAGCCATCGCCGAGGGGGTCGATATAAGAGCTTGACGCACGTTACGGCACTACACGCAAACAGTCGACAGATAAATCACCATTCTATCTCACTCACAGCCCGCCGAGACTGATATTCATGCAGTAAATCTTGGAACATCTGTCAAGCTTGGCTTTCGCCAGTTCATCCCTGCCGTCCATCAACCTATCTTCAACTCATGTACATCTTCTCTACCGCACCTACCTTACCTAGGTAATCGATAATCCGTAATCTGCCTATTCGTACACTACCCTCGATATAAGCCTTTGAAAGATTTGGGTGTCGGATCATTGGAAACCTGAAGCCATGAGCTACCACGATTCTCGCGACAGACACCCCCTTCCGACCCAAACCTTCCGGTCCGAATCGGGGTACTCCTCGCCCGCCCCGGGCTCCGGTGCCCAAACACCAACAGGGTCGGGGGCCGGCAGCTCCCAATCACCAGGACTAGTCTCCAGTATTTTTGGGGGTCTGATTCGACGTTTCTCCGCCGAAACACCGTCCCTCACCCACTCGCATTCATACCCAGCAGACAGTTCACACTCCCACTCCCACGCCCACGCCCACAACAACAACGGCGTCGACGGAGTCTACGTTCCCCCCCGATTTCATGAAACCATCCAAAGAACCGTATCACCAATGCAGCCGCCTCCACTGGAACCCGTGCAGCTCAAGGGGTTTGCACCGGACACCCCTCACTCGGCCAGGATATTAACACAGGCGATCGCGGAGGAGATACGGATTATGGTGCCGACGAGGCTCAGCATCGTGGACGAGTGGAATTTGATCTACAGTCTGGACCAGGACGGGGCAAGTCTGGGGACGCTTTACGATAAGTGTGCAAAGTATTCCGGACGACGAGTGGGATTCGTGCTGGTTATCAAAGATGCCGAGGGTGGTGTAAGTTACCTACCCCCCTCTCCCTCCCTCTGTTCACTCCATCTTCGGCCTTCCCTCCCTCCATCCCTATATATTACTGTCGAAACCCGTCACCCAAAGGAAACACAGACAAAAAAAAAAGTCCAAATGCTTACCTCGCACCCTCCCACAACATTCAGATCTTCGGCGCCTACCTATCCGACCACCCCCACCCAGCGCCCAAATACTATGGAACAGGCGAATGTTTCCTCTGGCGCGCTTCCGTCATGGCCTCCCTCCCGCCTCCTCCCTCCGCCGACACCACGAACCTGCGAGGCCGAACATCCACCATTTCGTCAGTCGGAACGGGCACGGACACGGCCACGAACCACAGCAGCGGCGACGGTCTTGCCTCATCTACCGTTTCGAGAGCCAACACGGCAGCAACATCACCCCATAACGGCAGCGTAGACGATCTACTTGCTTCCTCGACCGACGGCATCGATCAAACCACCATCCGCTTCAAGGCCTTCCCCTACAGCGGCGTGAACGAGTACTACATCCTGTGCGAGTCGCATTTTTTGAGTCTGGGCGCTGGCGATGGCAAGTACGGGTTGTGGCTGGATGACGGGCTGGACAAGGGGGTGAGCTCTACGAGTGAGACGTTTGGGAATGAGCAGCTTAGCGATCAGGGGGAGAAGTTTTCGGTTTTGGGGGTGGAGGTTTGGGTTATTGGGTCTGGGGGGTTATGATGCCTCTTGCCTTGCTAGCGGGAAGAGGAGGCTGGGATGACTTTTGGGACTGATGTGCTATCATTTCTGACAAGTCTTTGGGGCCATCACTAAACTGAGTATGGATATGGAAATTTGGTGGCGTAAGGCGTCATGTTATGGTGGGTTTTGGCTTGATGAAGCAAAAAGGAAAAGGGAACCTGGATGGGCATACATACCAGGTACAGACCTTGTAATAGTGTCTTGATTTAGCCAGTCTTTGTATCATAATATACCCTTCACTCACTCGCGGAACCGAACATTTCCTTACTCGATTCCTTGACCACGAAGCGAACACGACGAAAGACACATCATCATCAGCTCAGGGTTGAGTATCTAGATTCAAATTCATGACAGTACGGAACGGGATCCGGTTTAAGCAAGCCATAAGAGCGTATCAAGACCGCAAAGGAAACGTAAAAAATCGACTTCCCCTCCACCACGCTCATCTAGGCCACATTGTCCAGATATCTCCCCTTCCTTCAACATTCGCCATCAAATGCTGGAAAAGCATATCCCACGTCTCCCTGATATCTCCTACGTCCCATCGAGAGGACCAAGTAAACTGACATTGTTCCAACACTCTCCTTCAAACCGTCCTGATTTGGTAGTAGACATTTCACCTCATAATTTCCTGGTAGATCAACTGCTTCAACTGCTCCTTGCTCAGGTTATCCTTGTGCTTGTCGAAATCAAAGAACTCCTCGGGGATGGGGGGCGCGGTCGGCTCATCATCCGGGTCGTGGTAGGGCTCGAGGTACGGGTGCTTGAGCGCCTCTTCGACCGTGATGCGCTTAACAGGGTTGAAGGCGAGGAGCTTTTCTAGCAGGTCCAGGGCCAGCTCCGACGTGTTGGGGAACAGCGTGCGGAAGGGAACCTTCTTCTTGAAGGGCAGCGAGCGGATGTATTCGCGCGCCCGGCGCGACTTGATGCCGTAGTAGTCTTCCATGGTTGGGGTGCCGAGGACGTCCAGGATGAGGGTCAGTTGGTGGTGGTCTGTGAGAAGGAAGTAACGCGCGTTAGTTTCTTTCTGTGATTGCAACACGGGGTTGGTTGGGGTGGGATCACATACAATCTTTGCCAGGGAAGAGCGGCTTGCCGCTCAGCATCTCGGCCAAAATGCAGCCGACAGACCAGACATCGATGGCCTTGGTGTACTCCTTGAACGTCAACATGATTTCGGGGGCGCGGTACCAACGGGTGGCAACGTATTCGGTCATGAAGCCCGAGTTGTCCTCTTGCGACGCAGCCGAGCGGGCCAAGCCAAAGTCGCACACTTTCAGATCGCAGTTGGCGTTTAGCAAAAGGTTGGAAGGTTTCAAGTCGCGGTGAAGAACATTGGCAGAGTGCATGGCCTTGAGGGCGCGCAACGTCTGGTAAATGAAGTATTGGCAATGGTCGTCCGAGAGCTCTTGGGTACGAATGACCCGGTGCATGTCAGTCTCCATTAGTTCCTGGTGGTTTAAGCCATGTTAGTGAGGAACAAACAGCCTGAAGGACCGAGACAATATGCGATCATACCTGGATGAGATACACCTCGTTGAAAGTCTCGTAGCTCCGTGGTTTTTGAATATCGAGAATAGAGATGATGTTTTCATGGTTGAAGTACCGAAGCAGCTTCATCTCGCGCAACGTCCGCAAGCAGAACATGGAGTGGTCAAAGGGGGTGATCTTCTTGATCGCGACCTTTTGGCCCGAAGGCTTGTGTACTGCAGAGCTGTTGGGTCGCCTGTTAGTTCTCGTGATCCCTCTAGTGTGGGCGAGGAATAGTTGCGATCAACTTACCAGACGACACCGTAAGCGCCTTCGCCAACGACATCCTGGATGTCGTATTGCTCGCTGACGTTGAAGGAGATCTTGCGAGCTCCGCTTTTGTGTGCGCTGCTCATTTCGACGTGTCCCTGGGGGGTTGTTTACGGGAAACAAAGACTGTCTAGGGACAGTAAGTGGTTCGGTTGTTTCGCCGACTCGAAGGTTGAAAATACTTGTGTTGTGTGACAACGGAGGCGTTGATCGCGAGTCAACGGGCGCTACTGAATGAGGGGATTCGTCTGTTGGAGTGGGGTCTGTCCAAGATCCCAGTCGAGTCGCGCAGTCGAGGGGCCGTCGACGATGGTTGCGATCCAAGAACAAGTACGGTAGGTATTGCTCAACACCGAGTTGTTGTTGTTTGTAGAAAGAGTGTAGGTTGTAAAGGAAGTGACCGTCGCCAAGGGGATGTGATGGGAGTAGAAATGCGGGGGCCTGGCCGGTTGGTTCAGGTTGCGTTGTTGCGTTGTTGTAGCGGGAGGTGGTGGTGGCGGAGGGGTTGGGCGCGAATTCTACCTAGGCTGTCTTGAGAAAGGCTGCTTGCTATGATTAGCTGTTGACACACAACTCAGGGTGCAGGTGAGGTATCCATTCAATTAATGAGGGATCAAATGGAACGAATGCAGTGCAACACTGGGCTTGCGTTGCTGGCTTCCTTTCCACTCTTCGGCGAGCCTCGACTGCCAAGCGGCGCACCTCAGATCCGGGATGATGAAGTTGAGTGGATGTCAGTGTGTCCAGGGGTTATCATAGAAAGCCAAGGTCCGGCTCTTTCAACACTGTGATATCAGATGGACGATCAGGTGGTGCGCAGTCGAGCACTTCCACTTGGGCGGTCTGTCCTGCAAGTGAACCACGAGAATGTGAAAGCGGGCCTGGCGGGACGAGTCTAGACGTTTGTCGACACTTACACGTATACCTCAAGCTTCCAAGACGATATCGGGGTGTTTGGTGGTGGAAATGCTATCAAGATAACGAGGAACCGGCCGAGCAAGAAGACAAGAGAAGCTCTCTTACGAAGGATGGGTCAAGGGGAAGTTATCGAGCTGATGAGGAATAACCAGGAGAAAATGACAGGAGGGTCGAGGCCCCAACTACTTCACTGCTTCACACAGCTTCTCTTCTGGAGCAATGTTGACGCCGAACAAAGTGCGACAAGGAGTCCCCAGCGGAAGCTCAGACCACGTTGTCATTGTTGGTGGGGCTCATTCAGAATCGTCAAACGCATCAAGGAGACCGGGAACTCCGTCGCCAGCGGGGTTCAGCTCGCTGACGGTCGGCTGGGCCAGGGGCACAACCTCAACAATGGAATCCTCGGCTTCTTCTTCCTTCCCGTTCACATATAGAGACTGCCCCTGGGCTACAACATAATACATCCTCGTGCCTCAACTACAGTAGCACGAGGAGCGGGATGATGTGCCCTCAGTCTACGGTTTCACATACACGTACAGGAACATGGAAATGCATCGCGGTATCAGCACCTTGGCGGCTAATCAGCCGTGCCAGCAGCCTCTAGAGCCTGGCTCAGCCTGGGCACCGGTACTTCTAGAGGTGTCACCTTGTCCCTCTGGATACCCTTTCCGTTCATCTTCACGTCTCTTTCTCCCGTTCCGTCTTTTTTGGTGCTCCTGAATGTTTCTTCTGCCCGTGGCCAGTCTGTATGCGACCTCCTGCAGCCCTGTGAGGAAACGTCGAGAACCTCAAATCGTGTTTCCAGAACATGAAGTACCCATTCAGTGGGCCCGTCTCATTCCCTCAAAACCAGCATAATCCCACCACGGTCTGTATATATGTATCCGCTCCCTACTAGGCAACCCATACTTAATTTGAGTTATGACTACGCACCAATACAGACAACTCATTTGTTCCCAATATCTCTTCTCCTTTTCTTTGTCGACAATGCCGAACATGTTGGGGGGACAAATGCGTACAGTATCTACAATATCATAGGTCCACAAGCCATTGCCAGTTAAGCGCCCGGGCTAGGCCAACACCCGAGCCTGACTGGTCGGTTTCCCTTTCTTCGAACAAGACGAAGCTCTCGGCGTGTGTCTCAGGTCCCTCTCCTCTGGGGAGAGTTTTCCCCGTTCGTTTCACAAAAGAGGCCCGGGCGGTTACAGGGCCCAACTTTGAAGCCAAGCGAGTGTACCCGTTCGGGAGGAATTCTGGCCAAGTTGGTGGTGGTGGTGGTGATATCTGAAGAGGATGAGATCAAATACTAAAGACAGACGGAGACACCTTACTGCATTCGATCTATCAGCTTTATAAATAGTGAAACAAGGAACATGGGGGGAAAGGAAGCGGATACAAGTCCAAAGCGACCTATGTGACCTGGTGAAACAGTAACATTACCATTGCCAGACACGCAGTCGCAAGCTGGCCAAAGACGAGCTAAAACAGGAGAGAAAACCCCCCCCCCCCCCAAAAAAAAAAAGAAAAAAAAAAAGAAAAAAAAAAAAAAAGAAAAGGCAACGAACAAAATCTCACCAGGTCGAAAATATGTCACTGGGACATCGAAAAAAAAGTCAAAAGTGAAGGTCGTACCCGGAATCGAACCGGGGTTGCCGGAATGTTCTGATGGTTTTGGAGACTCAGAATCCGGAGTGATAACCGCTACACTATACAACCATTTGTTATGGATTGGCGTCGGATAGTAGTCCAAGTACTCCATCTGGGTCCCACATCCTTCAGAGGCATCGCAACAAGCTGTAGATGAGGCACTATGAAGCGTGTCAAGCCACGCCTGCGGTATCGATTTTCACCTAAATGTCATAGCATTTGTTTACGGGTCACAATGGGAGTAATCCCGGATAGATTGTATGAAAAACCATTCTTAAGAATATTACATTGTGTTTGTCATGCGAGTCCGCTTCTTCTGCGTCTGTCCGCCACATGCACCCCTGTCTCTTTTCTTTACACCCGCTCAAACACCTCAAGATAAACATGTTCTGACTGAATACTGCCATCGGCATCCTTCGCTTGCCGCCGTCACATATAAATATCGAGGATCCATTTTCGCCCGCTAGGATGGTATGTGAATGCCATCACTGCACAACCTGTTGCAAGTCTGTTAGCGCCCCAGATCCGCTTTCCAACCATTGGCAGTAAAACAGAAAAGCAGCAGCAACAAGAACAATGCAAAACGAGGCTTTTAGTGACTCACCTTCTCCCTCAGCATGCCCATCCACTGTTGGAAGCTCATCCCCTGATCCGCCCGGTCTTCCACCAAGAGAGTCTGAGCCCACAGCTTAAGGCTTGGTTCACCATCCTCCCTGACAATGTACAGATGAGGCAACGTGATGCTGCCAACACCCTTGCTCTTGTGGTCTCTGCTCTTGGCAATCACGTTCCGGACACGCTCGTTGAAGTCATTGTCCAGCTCAGGCAGAGTTCCCTTTCCAACAGCAACCTGAGTGCGTTCCTGCACTCCGAATACATCCAGGATAAGCTGAGGCACAGCGTCACGACCAACCCAGAGGAATTGCGTTTGGCCATCGTCGATAAGGTACAAGCCGAATGGAACGAAGCGCTCCGAGGAGAGATTCATAGGTGGTGGGAGGACAATCTGGCTCGTCTCCGGGTCGGGGAAACCGGCATTGTCAGGCATGTCGTGCAGCGAGTATAGCCTGGGGTAGATGTACTGCATGAGCAGCGGCAAAGGAAGGGTAGAGAGCAGGCAGAGGGCAGCAGAGCGAATATCCGAAGGAATAAGCGCCGACTTCCTCAAACCAACGTGCTTGGTCAAGCCCAGGCAAAGGGCAGGTAGACCACGAAGGTTAGACGGGAACTGAAGGCCGCCACCCATACTTCCTCCACCCAGCTCCTTCCTGAAGGTCTGCAGAAGCTCGGTGATTTTCTGCTGAGGCAGATCCCTTGCCGCGTCCAGGGAATTACCGAGGGCCTTTTCAACCGCCTTGTGACTGAAGTAGGTAGCGATAGCGCACTGATCGGCCGAGGCGTAGACATCGGCAAGGTTGGTGGTGGTTGGCAAAGCCAGAGTCATGACACGAATGCGACGCTCACCATTGCAGGTGGTATGTAGTACCGCTGTCTGCAAGCAAACAAAGTTCTTGGTAAGGTTCTCATCGATGGCAACCTCAACGACGTAGCACTGATCACGGGGGAAAGCCGGGAAAGCGCACAAGTCAGAGCTTCTGTTAAAGAAGTTACCGTAAAAAGTGCTCATCCGCAGTCCAGTAGTAGCCCTAACACGGAGGACGGCCTCAAGGCCAATCTCAGACGACAGGTAGTCGCTGAATTCGGACGCAAACTTGACAGCATCCTCAGCCCTAGCGGCGTTCCATCCCGGGTAGAACCATGTTTGACCACCAGTGTACCGCGGGAGGTTGCTCAAGGAGGCCACATCCTGATACTGGGAAGAGAAGAGGAACATGTCGATAGACACTTGGTTCTTGGAGCACTCGACGGCGAAGCTCTTGTAGAACGAATTGGCGGTCTGCAGCAGCCCGCTTTCTTTGGACGTGCCGAGAAGCTTCTTGTCTTCTCTCATCTCGAGCTTTCCATAACCCACGTTAGGCAGAGAGGAGCTCAGCACCACAATCTTGCCGCCGAGGGGGGCAATAAGCTTGTGACCGGCCCTGAGAGCCGAACCCATGCAGTTTCCGTTGCTCTGGTTGTTCGCAAACATCTCGGGCAACTTATTGAGGAAGCTTTCGATGTTCTGCCGGCACTCGGTGAGGGGGACCAGCAACTCCCCGGGAACAGGGAGGAATGGCTCATCCAGATCGCTGACCACAAGCATGCTCGTCTCACCATTTTCCTCCGTGTCTCTCGGAACTGAGAAGTAATGCAGGCTCGAGTCCACGGCGATGAATCCAAGGCGGGTGCGGCGATCGGCATTCGGTATCCTGTCGAGGCTGTCCAGAATTGTTCTTGCGCTGGTGGCCAAGAGACCCGTAGAGACAGCCGCGTAGCTGACATCAAACAAGAAAAGGTAGACCAGGGGTTGAGGGGGCCTAACCATATACTCCTGGGGCGCAACGAACTCAACAACCGCATGGTTTAGCTCATGCCGTTGCCATCTATCCACGCTCTTCTGGGCCGCCGCATCCCAATCAAAGGCCTGGGGAACATCGTTGGTAAGGTTGCACATGTTGCAGCGCCATCTGTGGCCGTGATCAAGGAAGGTCACGAATGGGTTGATGTAGGATCGACATCTTCGGCAGCGCGAGATTACTTGGTCTTGCACAACAGGGACCGGATCGTCCAAGTCATGAAGAGCTGCATATGGCTGAATAACGAGCGCAAAGGGCAGCTTGCTCTTCTTGAGCAACGAGTGGGTGGTGGGTACGGCATTCAACGTGGATCGCACATACTTTGGCGCGCAGTTGGCATCTGGGGAAGGGGTAACGCTAGACTGAAAACAGAAAGTCAGCAATGGGCACATAGGCCAACTCGGGAAGCCAAAGAGCTTACATTAGGGGGAAGAATAATGGGGGGAGGCGGCAGCTCGAGTTCGGCGACATTAAAGGGCTGGTTGAGTAGATCGGTGGGATAAAGCTGGTTCGCAGGACCCCTCGCCTGGGCAGGGAGTTGCTGCGGCTGCTGCGGCTGTCCTCCAAAGCCCATAGACTGGATGCCGGCCGTGATGCCGGCAACACCTCCGGGGGCAGGGCCAACGGCGGCCGGAGCAGCACCCTGGGAGTAGTAGGCATCAGGGGCCTGATAGCCTCCGACTCCGGGTACGGCAGGCTGAGGCGCGCCGTACGGTGTTGTCGGAGCGCCGTATGCCGGTTGTTGGACATCTTGTGCCGGATATCCACCAAATCCTGGTGCTGCTGGCTGAGGGATTCCGTATTGCGCTGCTGCTGGCTGGCCGCCTACTACGGCGTTGCCTCCTGTGGCAACCTCGAATGCCTGGGCGGCGTATGCTCTCTTCTTCTTCTTGCCATGCTCGGCGCCGTGCTGCGAGGCGGCTGCCGGCGGAGGAGAGGCCGAGCTACCGTATGCTTGTTGAGCGGGATCAACGGGATATTGGGGCTGCTCGCCGTACTGCTGGGGGGGATACTGGCCGTAGCCATCGTTGGGAGGAGGAGCCGCCATGGTGTTGTCCGCTGCTCGGTTCTCTGATGGCGCGAGAGATTACGGTGGTCGGGCCTCGTTGAGCAAAGTAACAATGGCTGGAACCTCTTGGTGGGTATGTCGATGACGCTTGTGGCGCGCGAGAGGAACGGCGAAAGGAGTCAGGGGACAAGTCGTGGGTGTTGCGAAGCGGCGGGGGGCGGTGGAGAGAGTTGGTGATTTGAGGCGCGCTTGGAAGTTGACAGCTCTCGATTTACGACAACAGCATCGGGCGCCGGGCGGCGAGGGGCTACACCTATCAGACCTATCAATCAGGAGGACAGGAGCTAGGAAGCCAAACTGGCCTTAGCTGCCTCGCTTCGGGCGGAGTACCAACGGGAGTGTCCACACAGGCTGGGGCCAGGCAGCTGGGGTAATGGTTCGTACCTACCAAGTATCGCCGCACCTTCGAGGTGTTGGACAATGCGCTGTGTGATAAACACATAGAGCTCGAGGCACCCCACTAGTTGTGGGTATCAGGCCGGTGGAGTGCAGATGAGAGTTACGGTAAGGGTAAGAAACTGTAACTTACATGCTTTCATCTCATGCAGCACGTGATGCTCAGGCCTCTAATTAGTTCACTTATAACCGACCTAATTTCATACACCAATGCATTCCCTACACCCCGAGTTTCGATGGAGGCCATGTGTTTTTACTTGGACAACTGCTAACCAAGAGGGTTCTCAAATCCGCAAACTTTATTGTTTGTTCCTGCATCTGTAGCTGGAGACAGATGTCACCAACGCGAGGTTGAGCTTATGACGGGAGGGAGCTTCAGCGGCACGGACCCCACAGTGGGCAATCACGGGTAGATCGGCTCGAGAATGGGTACATCTCGCGATACATCTAGCAAGGTAACAACAACACCTGACACACAAACGCCAGCTCCAAGCAACATGCCGAGCATTTTCATGTGAACGGAGGAACGGGTGAGACGGGAAATATGAACATCGCAATGCAGTGAATCTCGGCAATCTAGGCACAGTGGCCCGGGCGTATTTGGGAGAAGCACCTTCCTGATGTTCGAGCATACATATTTATACGGCTATACCCGCTATCGCGTTCTGCCCGTTTGCACTGCCGTCTTTCATCCCGCTTTCAGGATTGAAGAGTGCAGGTAGTATTTATAATTCAGGATTTTATAACCTAAACCCTTCTATGGTCCTCACCACTTCCTCATCTCCGTCCCACCTAGCTAGCGTGCCACGAATACCTCTACACCGAGTACCACGCGGGTTGCTCTAACTCGGCCTATTTCGAAACACACATCTTACTCACAGCCTACCTACTATCAGCTTGGTGACACTTAAGTTGACTCGGATCATCAATATATCGAAATACATTCCCTCCTACCGTTTGAGCGAGACTCGGAATCTTAGGACCCGGTCGCCACTTAGAAGTCAGACGATTTCCCCCGTTGGCATACCCTGTGCTCGACGAGAAACACCCAGGACAAAGTACAGCAAAAAACACAGTTATTTGGGACATTCCCTCGATTTGATTTCGTCTAAATCGACAACACTCACCAACAATTCGACTTCAAGCCGAACTCTGGAAATTGTTGTTCGAAAATGGCCCCTTCATCAGCCTTCAGGTATGACATCATTCCTCGCTTCCTTCTGCGCGGCCCCGCCATCAAAACGAACGTCCAGCAACATATGATTCAAAACTACAAAAAGCTAACAAAAACCAGCCAAATCCTCCCTCTCATCCTCACATTAGTCGTCGTAGCCGGTATCGGTTTCGTGGTCTATCAAGTATACCTATCGGCCCTCCAATTCCGCGACAACACGGCCCAGCGCATGGAGCGCAAGAACCTCGCCTTTTCCAAAGACGGCGGTCTGCGCGTGAGTGTCAAGGACGTCGGCGACGAAACCTACCTGGACCGGACGCAGAGCTGGTTCGTGAAGGCGTGGGAGTTGGGCGTGGAGGAGGAGAACGCGAACAAGAAGAGAAAGAAGACGGGAATGTTCAGAAAGGCGGCCTAGAATGTCGCTGAGGGATGGGTAGCTGGGGTGTTCAGTGGGGTGGATGTGAAGATCAACGAGAAAGGAGACAAGAAAGAGACGTAACGGAAAAGGGTGCCGGTATGTGAGAGAGCAAAGATGCAGTGCTCTGATAGGGCTGGGTGACTTGAAGCGTGTAAGCGGTCCGGAGGGCAATTGGGTGCTTCTTGCAGCCACGCTCCGTGTTGAATTACACTCGAGACTATTTGATGGGATACTGGTGATAAGTACCGATTGGCAGTGGCCGCCGTTGGACTGTGATCGTGACTCGAGGCCAACATGAAGACCGAGGTTGCTGCGGGATGGGCTATTATGTTACCTGAGCAGCTATCACCAGCCACTTGTTTGTGCAAGAATCAAATGCACTATGCACTACCCATCAGATTGTCAGATATTCATGCCCACTGCCATTGAAGAGCTAGGCCCCTTGACACTGCTGTCTAGCTTAATAAACGCTCGCTCAGCCTTGTATCTCCAGCCATCGATGCCTCTTCGGGTTAACAGTCCAACAGTTACCTCGATAACCACACATTATATCGGTTCGCCCTGTTCTCCCTTCAAAGCTTCTAGAAGCTCCCAGCACTCAGTCGAGGTATACTGTGGGCACACAGTTTTGTTAGTTCTTGGGCGATACCATGCAAAACAATCTTGGACAGGATGTCCTGGAATGCAACACTGTTCGATGGATATCAATACTCACCAGTGAAGTCTTCAGACCCCATTGGTTATGGGCATAAAGATTCACATGCGATAAAGCTTCTGCATATGAATCCACAGTCAGTCCCTCTACCGCCTAGTAGTACGCAAACAATGTTGGGGGTAAGATGTCATGCGGAAACGAACCAGACTTGTAATAATACTCTTTTTTCGGATCTAGGACCCCAAGCTTCTCAAGCTTCTCCAGCAGTCTCGCAGCCTCCGCCTTATCCCGGAAGTCTTTGGAGAAGACCTTCACCAGCTCGCCATCCGATTGTGGCCTACTGACTACGCCACCGCGCCTCAGGGACGCTTCCGACCCCAGCTCGTTTTTCACCGTGGCCGTGACGATCTTCCTCCAGACCTCCTCCACCCGGTCAGGCGGTACATAGAGTAACCACTTACCCATTCTTAGTTCGCAGGCGTCGGCCAGACGGGTGAGGTTCCTCATCACCTCCACCCGCTCCGTTATCACGTTGCCCAGATCGCGCTTCCCGTCGGCCTCGACGCTGGTGCCGTAGAACTTGATGAAATCGGTGAACATCCTCAGTCGCTCCTCGCCGGCCTTGCTGTAGGTCCACCGGGCCGGCTTCCAGCGTGGCGGCGCATAGGGGTTGGCGACCCGGATGAAGTTTTTGTATACGTTTTGAGTGCGGGCTAGGAAATCGTCAACGGTCTCGCGAAGCTGCCAGGAAACCAGATTGCCGGCGTAGGGGTTGTAGAGGGGACGCCCTTCGGCATCCTTGAAGAATATGCGAGGGGGCTTGGTCTCTTTCCGGGCAATGGGATACCACTTCTCCCACCAGTCGTCTACGTCGTAGGTCTCTAAACCAGTCTCTGGCTTTGAGACTGTTTTGTTTTGGTGTTTTCCTGTGATGGTGTTAGCAGACTCATTAATTCATGGTATTGCACTGAGAGCAGGAGGTGGGGGTCATTGACTTTTAATCGATTTCTCTGGTGACTTTTGTGACTGGTTATGTCGAGTGGGCGAGTTGTGGAAGCCTCTTCTAAGGCGCTCGTGCGCCGTTGAGGTATGGGATGATGCAACCGCAAAGAGACATCGAACCGCACTAGAAGGATACGGAGATCGGTGGAGTATGGGATGAATCATTTGGCTTGATCAAATGGGTGTATAAATTGCAATAGGGCAGCTTTGTTGATCGAGAACCTACCTGTTGTTCGCGGAAGCAGACAAAACGGAAAGGTTGAAACTGTGGGGGGTGTTGCTGCTGCAGCATGAGGGTGGGTTTCTGATTTATTTCAAACGGCCCCCTAAAAAAGACAACAAAAACAACATAAAAAAAAAGGCCGAACAGCGATAACAATAAAACGCACGCCAAAACAGTTGCATAACGACCAACCGACCGACAGTCTCCTACCCACAGAGACCATAGTCGCAATATAATTTTTTTTTTCATCACTCGGCCGTGGCTTCTACGATCAATTCCTTGCGCCAAATTGTGCCTGCTGATTTGAACTTGGCATAGCATCGTGGTTTCGCTGAGAAAATGGGCGATTCCGGTGAAAATTGGCCGGAGCCGGTCTCCTCCCTTCAGTCAATGCAGCTGGATCTTCCACCTAGTTGCATTGAATTTTGCCCTTTTGCGCCGTCGTACTTTTTAATCGGGACGTACAACCTGGAGGGATATGAAGGTCCTGCTGCTGCCAGTACCGCTGAAGCGAAGGACGTCGAGGAACAGGATGAGCAACACGACGATCTCGAGGCTAGGGTGACAAGAGAGAAAGAAGGGCCACAAAACCGCAACGGAAGCATTCTCACATTTCAGCTTGTGGATGACCAGCTGTAAGTCCAGCTATTGTCAAGCAAGAGCACACCAACGAAAACTGACAGGCTATCAGAGTCCATGTTCAAACGCTGATGCAGCCATCGGCCATCCTCGATCTTCATTTCAACCAGGCACCTGGCAAGCAAGACATCTGCGCCGCTGTCTCCAGCACGGCCACTCTGGCTCTGTTCCGGTTGAGTCCTGGGGAACCTCAGCCTTTGAGGCATCTCAAGACCATGGACATGGCAAGTATGTGCAAAACGGCGGAGGACTGGCTAGGTGACAAGGACGAGGTTATCTTCACCCACCTCAGCTGGCATCCCACCAAGTCGGACATGGTTGCCGTAACCACAACTGCCGGCTATGTACACCTGATCTACCTTGGGGATGATCTTGTTGGCGGTGATTGGGTAATGCATCCTGAGCCGATCCTCACTCACACCCTCGAGGCTTGGTATGTATCCATCTCTCCGTCTCTGAGCCCTCCTTTTTCCCAAGACAAAGAAGAGGACGACTCGTTTCTGCTGTTATCAGGAGGGGATGACTCGGCGTTGCGCTACCAAGTATGCAAGCGCACTCGCGCCGATGCGGTGGACGACGACGAATCGGAAAGTCCCTATACCATTGAGGCGCTCCGCCCACCTGTCAACGTCCGAGGCCATGGTGCTGGAGTAACGGCGATAGTGCCCCTAGGGCTGAAGGACGGCGAATCCGAGCTCGTTGTCACGGGAAGCTACGACGATCACATTCGGCTGTTCTCTATCCCAGCCTACGGCTTCGGGCGGGCCGTCGAGCTGGCAGAAAGCAATCTCGGAGGAGGCGTGTGGAGGGTGAAGATTGTCAAAGAGGAGATGGGCCTCTTGGATGGGCAGGGTTGGCGCTTGACGATGCTGGTATCGTGTATGCATGCGGGCGCGCGGGTTGTCGAGCTTCTCAAGAGCGGCGCTAGGAAGTATGAGTTCCGAGTGATTGGGAGGTTTGAGGAGCACAAGAGCATGAACTATGGCAGTGATTGTCAGCTGAGCGCCGAGGGGACTCTCTCAGTCGTGTCAACGAGTTTCTACGACAAGCTGCTGTGCCTTTGGAAGCTTGAGCTTGGACCTTGAGAAATAGAAGGAGATGGCATTTTAAGGGTTCGGCGTGACGCAACTATTCCCAAGCGAACGGTTTCAGTGGGGTGCATGCTGCACATGCAATATTTAGTTGTACAAGTACACACCTGTGTTGCGAGGTACTTCTGCCTCCCGATAAGGAGCGATAAGCTGACCGCCTTCTCTTTTCTCCCGTCTCCGGGCATGTTCAAGAAGGTGCCCCTCCCGGTGGGCGTGCCCCTGCTGTGCATCGATGGAGGAAGTTCCGGTTCGATGGATCCGCAGCCCGCTCTGATCCCAGCCTGAAGCGCGCCTGAAGCGCGCCTGTCCACCTAATTTCCAGAGGTACTTTAGCGTAGCTTTGGGCAGGCACGCGGCCCATCGCGCCTGCCTCGGAATACTCGTGCTGTTACGGTAGAGCGCCACCCCCAGACTTTGCGCGAGGGGATGCACTAGAATGTGGCCCCGGCGGTCAAGCCTCAGTGCCGTGGGCAACATTAACAGCAAGTCACGGTGGACTTAAGGGAACTCCGTCATTTCCCCGGGCTTGTGGAATTTCATGCATGCTGCCCCAAAACATCTGGGCTCACAACTCCAATTTCCCGTCACAACTGCCTCTTGGAGGTAACCTTCTCTTGTATAAATCACCGGGGAAACGAGACTCCTCGACGCGCCTTTGCTTACGTTCTACCTCCAACAATTTATTCCAGCCTCTGCTGTTGGCTGGCTTGCTTCATTCGCTCATATTCTTACTTGCAAAGGACTGACTAGTCGAAGGCACCAGGCTACCTACTACGGTTGCGGTGTAGGTCCCCTCATACCACCAGCCTCACCACCTAGCCTACCTCTGCTTCCCTCCAGCTTGACCGTTTGTACCATCACGTCCGTTCCCACCATCTCCTCAGGCGATCTCGCTGCCGTCGAGGTAAACACAACACACCCTACGGTACATCTACACTGTAGTCTTCCACGGCTCCCAGTCTAATCGAGCGTGACCCGATACAGCAATCCCATGTTCACCATCGCCTCTTTATGAGCACCCGTCTGTTATACCCGCTCGACATCGATCTTCGCCACGGTCCGTATCGTTGCAACCAAGCTCGATCCTCCCGCCCTCTGCGTCCCTAAGATACCTCTACTTCCGCCATCGATTATACCTCTAGCCATTGCATCCTCCCGTTTGCAACATGGACACCAACGGGGCCGCCGGTGCCGGCGCCGACCCCGTCATCCCGAGGATTCACGAAGCACTCAACATTGTCCACAGCCCCTACTCTCCCAACCAGGCGCGACAGGAAGCTCAGGCATTTCTGGAAGAAGTCAAGACCCGCGGTGACGCGCCCTCGCACGGTTTCAGCCTTGCTTCCGGTGGCTCACAAGAACCCGTCGTTCGCCACTACGGCCTGTCTCTTCTCGAGTATGCGGTCAAGCACAAATGGTCCGAATATGACACCAACCAACGCGAGTTTCTCCGCGGTTGGATCTTGCAACTGGCACAGGGTGTCGCAAAACCAGATCCGCCCTTTCTCAGAACAAAGATTGCCCAGCTCTGGGTCGAGATAGCTAAGCGCTGTTGGGGTGCGGATTGGATGGATATGGACGAGTTGCTGAACCGCCTATGGCAGGTTCCGAACTCGCCCGTACACAAGGAGTTCGTGCTCCTAATCCTCGAAATCTTGTCCGAGGAAATTTTCAACGGAGAAGACGCCATCGTCGCCCATAGAGAGGGAGCACTGAGCAAGGGATGCGTTGAGATCTTCACACCTTCTGCCGTGCTCAGCGAAGCCTTCCCAACCCGTCAACACGAACCCCAGGTGCGATTCGGTGACGACGGATGGATCAGTAGAGTAACAGAACTCGTCCGAGACTGTTTGAACGAGAACCTCGACAGTAATGAGGACGTCCGGGCCTGTGTCGTCAAAGCTTTGGCTGTTCTCAACTCCGTGATGCCGTGGGCAATACCAAAAGCCATTCATGCTACCGGTTGTCGTCCTGTTATATGCAATGGCCTTGCCAACTCAAACGTGACCGTGCAAAGGGTAATCTTGCCTCCCCTCTCTGTCCAGTCACTTTCCCACTTGTGCGATTGCTCCGAATATCTGCTCGAGTTCCAGCTGTTAACTCTTGTCTCTTAAACAGGCTGCTTTGGAGGCGTTGCATTCTCTCTATTCCCGGTCAGCATTCAGCAGCGAGGAATTCGTCGACCTGGTTGTTCCCATGTACAGCCCCGAGTTGGTCGACCTCTGCAGACGACTTTTTGAATGGTCGACAGTGGACGCTGAGGACATTGACGACGACAAGTACCAGTTTGCCAAGAAATTCTCCGAGGCAAGTTGCTTCCTTTACACCGCTGGGGAAAACCGCTCCTATTGTTTTCCTAGGTCTATACTGACAATCACAGATGATCTCGTGTGTTGGAAATTACCTCGACCGGAAGTACGCCTTCATACCGCCCCAGGTTGACATCCAGGACTTCCTGAAGCTTCTGATAGCGGTGGTGCAGAGTCAGAGCCTCGTTGTTTCCATTCCCGTGCTCGTGACTTGGACGCGCCTTCTTAACCACCGCTCGCTAGGTCCGGCTATCGGGAAAACCGACATGGTTCTGCCACTGTTGGACGTTTGTAGCGCTCGACTGTTGCGTTATGAGAACCTCCCTGAAGATACAGAAGATCCTACGTTTGTTCTTCTCATGGAGGATACCGATACCATCCCGGAGAGACATGCTTTTCTGGGTAACTATAGGCGATACAGTTGCTCTATCATCGAGAGCATCATCCAGCTGAGGCTCACGGATGCTTTCCAGTACATCTTGAACCAGGCAGAAAATGCTCTGCAAACTCTGTATGAGGGCCAGCTACCCCTAAACCGTAAGTTGCTTAAGCCATTAAACGCACGGGGCCGATGGCTAACGCTGAACATAGCGGCAACCTATTCCAAAACCTCCATGCCTGTTCTGAGAGTAGACGCCCATGCTACGGTCATTGAGGCAGCCCTCAAAGGCTACGTCAAGTGGAGGGCAAGACAGGGAGAACTTCCTGGAGGGGTAAGCTTCTCCTGCTGCGCTGTATAGCTCATGATAAAACTGACGACCCATCAGGAGCAGGAAGTTTCGAGTATCGAGACACATCTGGAGCAGTGGTGTAGTAGGCTGCTGGAGATGAATATTGAGGTATGCCGCCATCTACGTGTGGGATGGGTATCTGGCAATGAAGACGAAAAGCTGACGAACTTTTAGGACCCTCTTATCCGTAAACGTATCCTCCAGCTGCTTGTCGCCTTTTCCACTACGGCTCTTGACACCAAAGCCAACTTCATGCTGAGGGTGCTCGAGCACATTCTCATGACATGGCCTGCATTGCAGCCTGAGCACAAGACCTTCAATGATGCAATCCGGGATCTCCAAACTGAAAGCATGGTTGAATTGCAGAGGCTCGCCTCCAAGATGCCTGATCATTTACTGGTAAGTGGTGCTAGCCCGTCACACGTTATGTTCACCGGCTCCTTATATACTTACAATTTGTTTGTACCAGGACGTCTACGACCAGCTTGAGATTAAGGTCAAGGAGATGATCGCCTCCGGAACACTCGATGAAAAGCGCCAGATTGCGTATCGCAGTTTCCTCTTTATCATCATGTAAGACCCCCGATTAGCCCCTGTGACCTTCCGATGATGGCTTGTCATCGAAAGCTACGATACATCAAGTCTGGATCTCACTAACAACAAAACCATAGCCACCGGGCAACCCGCATAGACCAAGAAACGCGGGTCAGGCGTCTTGCTGAATTTGTCGAGCCTGTCAAAAACCAGTGGAAGGAAGCCCCGTTGCAACAAGCACTCGGCTCATTCGAGGGATTCTGCCAGCTTATTGGTCTAGACAAGGCGCAAAACTACATTGCACAGCGCCGTGTTCACCAAGTTGGTGATTGGGGTGCTGCGGACCTTGATGCCGAAGGGTTGGCGCTCCAAGCCGAACTTGAACAGAGACAAACGGTATGTTGCCCTGGGAATCACCGCCCCCAACGTGCTTTATAGTTACTGATATCATTGCAGTTCCTTCCTTTACGCTCAACCAAGTCATTTTTGACTTACTCGGTCGAGAAGTTGGAGAAAAACTCCCCCGCTTATCAAGCGTCTTGCGCTCTGTGGCAGGACGGGTTCCCGATCATCTTGCCTGAGCTGCTCAAGTTCTTGAGCTACGCACATGCGTGCCATGATCCGAAGAACTGGTCTTTGCTTCCAGAAGAGATGCGTCCTGTGGTCAGCCGTCTCCTGACTGACCGTTTCTGGCAAGCCGGTATTTCCGAAGGCAGCAAAGACGATTTCTATGCGCGCGTCCTGGACAAGAAAAACACGCTAGAGGGGCTTGCCTCCACCATTCGTGGCACTGTGCGCTTCGTCCGCGAGGCATGCTACGCCGTCATCTACTGCATGAGCCGACTTGACGTGCAGTTTTATGGGTTCACGGAACTTCCTGGGCCCTTGGCAAACGCCCTGTTTGCCGATTCCTTCAACCTCTCGTCTCATCAGCTTATTAATCTGCTGAACTTGGTGAGGTATCTCGTTGATCATTGTCCTGTGGAGCTAAGGGATCATTTCCTACCTCCAATCCTGGCCGCGTGCTTCCAGCAGATGGATTCCAAGATCAGCAGTGAATGGGAGAAGCTGGGCCAGAAGCAAACTGTCCAGGTGGCAGACAATGATGAATTAACGGAGGAGATGAAGGCGGAAAGCATTCTCAGGCAGCTGACGTATACAGCAGCCATTATGGTGGCTGAATTCCTTGACCCGGCGAGGACCGGTAAGTTGCTAAATCACCACTGGTACGCTCTTGAACTTTTACTGACCCTGTTCCCAGGACCACCTAGCAACCTTCCGGCCTCTCCCAACGGCACCACTCCGGAGTCCCGGTATCCATCGCTTCGGAGATTCTGTCTCATGCAAACGTCGATCGCCGGCCCCCTTCTCCTCTTCCTTTGCCATGCGATTCACATGCGTGATACCAGGTGCTGTGGCGTCGTCCTCCGCGTGTTCCGATCTATCGTACCGGAGTTCCAGATCCAGAGTCAGCCTAAGGAGCAAAAGGAACCGTCTCATCCTTTGCTACCCGATGAGAACTTCCCTATTCCCGATGCTACCAAGGCGGAAATTCACCAGTTCCTCGGGACCGACGTGATGAGAGCCGCGATCTCCTCGATGAACGATCCTTATTTCGTTGACGCCCAGAAGGACCTTGCGACCCTGATTGCAACGATCCTTGCTCACTCTTGCGTCGGCGATGAATTCTCGGGAGGCAACTCTGCGCCCCGCCAAATCCTGTGCTCACTGCCGGGTATCAAGGAACAGGAAGTGGATAGGACCCTTACTTTCCTGCGACGTCCCGGTACACATTCGCGCCAACAACGCGCTGTGATCCTCGATTTGTTGAGAAACGTCAAGAGTGTAAGCATTAGTGAGATGGGCAAGCTCAAGGACCCTAGAGAAGATGTTGTCAGAAAGGCTCCCAAGAGGAGCAAGATGGCCCAGAAATTCATGACGCCTCAGCAGGGCGTCGATACTACCGTGACTGGTACTGAACAGGGAACTGGCAAGAGGCAAGCGACTCCTGATCTGGAAGGAGTCGCCGGGATGTTCGACGAGGGACACTGAGCGATGTCAGACCTGCAAGAGCGTACAACGTGTTAGTGGCTTATCACACTTGCTCCTTTCGACTCAGGCTTTCAGCGCTACGCGGTTATATAATAGCGGCAATGACACGGCCAAAGCACCAGGAGCACAGTCTCGTGCATGCTCCCCAAGAAGGTTTTGGAAGGTTCTTTGCTGCTTCGCAGTGGCTTTGAACTTTCATACGCACCGTTAGACCGATGGAACCTCATCATGTGGCGCATGATGGTTCTATCGATGCGAGTCGCACCCAGCACATGCGCCTACCGATGCCAATGTTCTGTGCTTTATACTCGATGATACTTCAATCGCTTATCTGGGGTGATGAGAGCCGCGAACTCGAAACTTCGGCTAAGGCTTGACCTTGGGGGTTTGAATGTAAAGCGAAAACTATAGATTAGGAAGAGAATGGTTTGAAGGGCAGTTTTGTGAGAGCTAACAGCGGAGACCAGAGCTACGGCGATAGTACGGTTGATGATTGTCATGACCGACTGCCATTTCCTTGATACAAAGTTCCAGTCAGGTTTGACCCTTAGACGTCGGCGTAGCTGGGAAAATTCAGGTATATAGAGAAACAAAAACAACCGTGGGTTCGGGAATCGAGCCTCCGTTGGTTGACTTGGAATGTAATGGATTGATGTTAGTTTAAGGGTGCCCGTTCAACTTATCTCGATGAAAACATGACCTCTCGCCGTCTAACCAAGGTCAAAGAACCAGTCTGCCAGTCCTTCGACACACAACTTCTATCATATCCATAACGCATAAAGATGTCTAACTACTTCCGACATTCCGGGAAACGGTACGATTTAGCAACGGAACCACTGCGTAGTACTACGTTTACTAATGGAGCAATAGGGGCGATCTGCAGCGCAATTCCAAACGGGCAAGACTGGGCTAGACCGTGGAGACCGTGCTACTAACCCCTGAAGAGCTAATGTCAACCGAAGCTATCCCCCGCACAACCCATGTCGGAACAATCACGGTGAGATGATGGTCTTGCTGGTGATACCATCCATGCGTCAATCTGCACTCTCTGACTACCGTTTTCGAGCTCCAACACATCTCAGTTCTCGATAAGGTAAAAGTAAACATCATTTTCGGCATTCAGGTGGCATCGAGCGCCACTGTGTTGCGTTCGGACCAACCCGGTTCCGAGGTCGAGCCAAACTTGGCGGAAGTGATAGGCGGTTCACTCAGCCCTGAACTAGAAAGGGAAATTATACCTTTCCGATCAACATCTTCTAACTACGTAAGCGGCACGATACTATTTTTCCCCCTCGCATATTCCTCTGTTTCACTCTATTGTCCATGCTCAAGATATCGCCATATCTACCCTTTCCCTTCCAAAGTACGGCGGCTAATACACGCCTAGAGCAGATAAGGTGGCAGCAACGCTGAAGTTATAGTCATCCCTTGTCCTTGTCATCTCTGCCGGCTTTGATCACTGTCTCAAGTAGTGTGTCAGATTACCTACTACCAACCCCTAAGAGATACAGAAGACAGCCTTTCCGGGAATCGTGAGGTACCTAAGAGCATAGTTCTCATCTACGTATCTGCTCGGAGGCCAAAGAATCATCGGCCACTTTGATACTTCAACGGTCACCATTCACCAACCCTAGCGAGTGTCGTCACTTCTCTGGCGCTTACCACCGCCTAACCCGGCTCGCCCGGCTACCAGCCGCACTATACTCGGACAGTCCCCACGGGGAAGCATTACCCTATTGCTCCTTCCGGCACTCTATCCACCAAGTCCCATTGGCGAAGAGCCAGCTTACAAGAATTGTGTGACCATGGTTTATCTCGGAAAGCCATCCAAGGGCTGTCAAGTGTGCCGCACACGAAGAATCAAGGTAAGTTGGAATATATGCGATGAACTTGACTACAGAAACAGCTGACCACGCGGCACGATGACTTGCTGTTCGCGCGTTATCCAGTGCGATGAAACCAAGCCAACATGCAATCAGTGTCTCAAAGCAAGGAAACAATGTCCCGGGTACAAGGATGACTTTGACCTAGTCTTCCGTAATGTTACCAAGGCAACAGAAAGAAGGGTCCAGAGAGCCAACAAGAAGGGAAAGCAAAGGCTATCAACAGGGAGTGATGGCTTCAGCCCAGGGTCAGGCGCCTCAAGGCCGCCGTCGTCATCGTCATCCGTTTCAGTGTCATCATCATCGAGCGTCGACGGGGAACAGCAGTTTTCTCTCACATCTACGGCACGGAAGACAGTCAGGTCACCCTTCGAGCTCGCGGTCATACCGGCCATTCAAATCCCCACCGAGACTCAGGCGTCATGTCACTTTGTGTCCAACTTTGTGCTCATTCCCCGCCAGGGAACGACGAGGGGGTTCATGGACTATCTGATCCCACTCATGAAAACGGAGACGATATCATCGGCACCCCATCTCCAGTTTGCGTTTAATGCATGTGCATTGGCTTCGCTGGGGAACAGAGTCAAGAGCGACGGGATCGACTTCGTTGCGAGCGCACATAGGGAGTATGCGAAAGCATTAAGAGCCACTCAGGCCGCGTTGATGGATCGGGTCAAGTGCACATCTGATTCGGTCTTGGCTACGGTGTTACTTTTGGGTATGTTCGAGAACATCACGGCAAAGAAAATGGGCGAGTTTGCGTGGGGTTCCCATATTGAAGGGGCCATTCAACTTGTCAAGGCCCGAGGAAAGAAACAACTAACGACTCAGATCGGATTACAGTTGTTCATCGCCGTACGAACACAGCAGGTAAAAACAGCGAATTACAGACAGGCCATCACAGTCGTACTAACGCCATCCACAGATAATCCACGCTTTAACTTCCGGTTGCCCCCCGATAATGGGCGTCGACTGGTGGCTCGACAACGCCGTCAACGACTCCTACGCCGCCCACTGCTGCCGCCTTAACCTCCAAACCAGCGAGCTCCGCGCCGAAGTAACCCACATAATGACCCACGGGACCGCCGGTACCTCCCCGTCCTCCCCCTCCTCTCCTCGCTCACCCTCAGCACAACCCTCTCCATCAACCTACGAACAGCGAACCGCCCGGATCCTCTCCTTCATGCGACGCTCCCAAGAGCTCGACCGCGCCATAGTCGACTGGATGGCCTCCCTCCCGCCGCACTGGCGCTACCGCACCCTGTGCTGGCAAAACTACGTCGCCAACACCGACTACGCCCACGCCGAGGTATTTCCCGGCCGAGTGGACGTGTACAACGACGTCTGGATCGCCTCGGTGTGGAACATGGCACGTGTCACACGCTTAATTCTCGCCAGCATCACGGTCCGCTGCGCCGCGTGGGCGTGTAGTCCTGTTGATTACCGGACCACACCCGAGTATGCGCATAGTGCCAGGGTTTGTGCTGAGGTTATTAGTGATGTGCTGGCGAGCGTGCCGTATAATTTGGGGTGGCATTATCGGACGAAGAGGAGGAGGAGGCAGGGTCAGGGCCAGGGTCAGGGTCGTGGGAATCGGAATCGGAATCGGAATCGGGATAACTATGATGATGATGACGATGAGGAGGACGGTGAGGACGATGAACAAGAGGAGGAACAACTGTCTGGGTTCGGATGTGGCGAGGATGATGAGGGGATGAAAGGACTGTCTGGGTACTTTTTAACGTGGCCGTTGGCATGTGTTATGGCGCAGGATTATTTGACGGAGGATCAGAGGACATGGGTGAGAGGGAGACTGAGGTATATCGGTGAGGAGTTGGGGATTCGGTATGCGAATATTTTGGCGCAGGTGAGTTTGGATTCCTGGTCTTTTGGTTTCTTCAGTGCCATTACGTCTACTTTCCTTTCATATGGCCCGGAAATCTTTATGGTTAGTACTAACCAGCTCTAACCCCATTCCAGTTACAAGTACGCATTCCATCAATGCTCATCCGCCGCGATGGTCTCATGGCCCAACCATACCCCAATGCCCAAGATTTTCAACATCTTCTCTCCTCGGCGAGGAATTCACCACCGATCCTGCCCGGATACTCGCTCAATCCAATACAGGAAAGAGAGAAGATGCAGATGGAGTTTATGGAATTGAAGAAGAAAGAACTGCTGGCAAAAGCAACCGGTGCAGCAGGGAAGGAGGGACGATACGATGAGACCACGAATAAGTCTGGGCGAATGGGGAACAAAGGTGACAGCGAGGAGAGACGAGAGGAGGAAGAGAACGTCATGTTTTTCGCACGCAAGTTGCTTACTGTTTGAATGAGAAGAGCTTGGGATTCCGAGAAATCGGCGGGCTGTGATGTCGGGGTTCCGGGTTGTACATACACGCCTCAGGGCCTTTCCATATGTACCTACTGAAGATAGAATAGACCTAATACAAACGAAGCAACCACAAACCCGTAATTTCTCAAGAAATCCATCAAGCCATTCATTTTACCACCTCTCCAATTTCGAGGAGTAAAATCTTGCGAGTGTTGACGTCCTGGGGCAAGTCGAAAAAGGGGTTGTTTGTGGACCCACGTGACTTGGCAGGGTTGTATGTACGAGTAAAAAACGCCATTACAAGAAAATTCCCTTTTTGCCCGTTTCATTCGATCGTAACTTTCATGTGAACACGCGCCGCGTCGGTCACCACTCACCTTTTTAACAACCGATCATCGCACTTGCCGTTTGGTGTTATACTTTCATAATAGGTACCCCTTTCTGAATGTTTCTTTTTTAATCTCTGGTGTTCGTTTACCTTGCCGCTAGTAGAAATGCCATTGCATTCCTCGTCAGCGTGCAGAGCACATCCTCATCCTCCTCTCTTGTCTATCAAAAGCTAACAGTAACCATGGAGGGAAATCAATCAGACTCAAGACGGAAACCCCGCCAGAAAAGAATTTCCAACGGGAAGGCAGCAAGTATCCGAGTTTCCAAGAAAAAAAAAATGGGAGGCGACAAGGGCAAGAGAAAGGACGCCCCGGGCGGTGCTGGAGGCCAGAAGCAGAAGAAGAAGAAGGTATTTACTCCCGATGATCCGCTGGCCTTTGAATCCATTCGAATTCTTGATTGAGCTAGTATACTCTTCAAGCTACTTTCAGGTTGATCGAGCATGCACTACAAATGTTCCACAGTTGGAGATCCTCAAACTCTCATGCGGTTGCTATGACAAGTTGTCTCACGGGTGCTTTCGCCCATTCGACTTGGTTATGTGATGTCTGACACCCGCATCGAACAGACTGGCAGCGGCGGCAAATGGACAACACCCAACCAAGCGAACAAGCTCGCCCTCGAGCGCAACTCCATCCCCCAAATCGGCGACCGCGGCATATGGGTGACCTGCGCACGCCACCAGGAGAACAAGGCCGCACGGGAAGTCATCAACCTCTTTGAAGAGTACATCGAAACCATGTACGGCATCAAGCCCGCCAGCAAAGAACCCAAAGTCGAGGATGACGACGATGCGGAACTAGATATCGAGGCCGCCATCGCCAAGGAACTCGGCGCAATGAAGGAGAAAAAGACTGCCGACGTCCAAAAGCAGGAGGACGACAAGGCCCTGCTCAAGGCCATGAAGCTCAACATCGACTGTCTCTTGTTCGTGCGGACCAAATCCCCCATCGAGCCGGTCGAGTTCGTCAAGAGGATAGTCGTCGACACCAAGGAGTGCACCGACATCAGGAAGATCAAGTGCCGCTATCTGAACCGGTTGACGCCCATGAGCGTCATGGGCAAGGCGACGGAGCAGGGGTTGGCTGAGACGGCTAGGCAGGTTTTGGAGGAGTACTTTGACTTGAGCGGGAAAAAGGGCGAGCAAAAGGAAGAAGATGGTGCGGAGGTGAAAAAGGAGGGAGAGAACAAAGAGCAGAAGGAGTACAAGCCCTACACATACGCCATCCGGCCTACGATTCGCAACCACAGCAACCTGAAGCGAGACGTGGTCATCAACACCATTGCCGGACTTATCAACGATGAGCGTCACAAGGTCAATTTGACGAATCCAGACAAGGTCATTTTGGTGGATATCTTCCAGGTAAGACAGGACAGACAGTCTTGGGTTATTCCCCTTCCCCTTGACCCACAAACACCTCTCGCGCACACTGCTTCACTTCACCCTTGGCTTGCTGAAGGACTTGAATTGAATGGTGGAGAATCCGCTTTGCTAACGCTGACTTTTACGGGGCAATCACAGACGGTCTGCGGTTTGAGTGTTGTGGATGGTGATTGGGATGAGCTGAAGAAGTATAACATGACGGAGCTATATAACCAAGCTGCTGGCATCACGGCGGTTGGGAAGAAGGATAAGCAGGAGAAGCAAGATGAGAAGAAGCCGAAGTCGGCCAAGAAAGAGGAGGAGACCAAAGACATCAAAGAAGAGGAGCCCAAGATTAAGGAGGAGGAGCCTGCTTCTACCGATGCTTGAGACTCGGGCACGTCGGGAGATGGGGACAGTGGTGGAGGCATCGACCGGTCCCGCTCCCGGAGACTTTTCGGTGGCGGCGGCAGCAGCAGCAGGGCGGAGCGGGGCGGGGACTGGTTCCGTATGTACTTGTTGTCTAGCGGTCCCTGTTTTTCTGGCGAGATGCAGTACTAGTGAAATGCAGCACGTGGGAGGATCATTGGGATGTTAGGATGTTAATGATTTGCCCGGGAAGGTGAAAACAAGCGAGAGTAATAGCGAGAAGCGGATTGTCTCGTGGCCCTCTTGTCCAATGCGCCTGTTTGAGTTCCTTTTTTTTTTTTTTTTTTTTTTTTTTTTTTTTTTTTTTTTTTACGTGTCTCAAAAAAGGTGCGCGGCTATATATCTAGTGCACGGTGGACAGCGAATAATCAGTGACATCAGATGGCTATGTCAGATCACCTCAGTCAGATCTGCTGGAAAGGGTGTGCCTAGTAGGAAACGTATGTAAAAAGCAACCGCGTTGGTTGTAGGTGGTGATCATGTACCGAATTATATCGGCAGTTCGACTTTGAAAATGGTATTGGAGAAGGGCTCCACGATGGTTCTTCGGATTCGCTCGCTACTTTGTACCCAAAGAGGCTACACTGCAGGATGCCATGATCTTCAGCGCTTGTAGTTAGACGTGGTGAAAAGTGGGTTTTTACAAGTCCGTTACGCAACCCCGTAGTTAGACGTGCTGATCTGTAGGAGGAATATGTCCGGTGGACAAAAAAAATCACAATCCTCAAGGTTACAGTGGAAGGTCCCAGCGTCACAGGGAGGAGGGCAGCATGCAGGGGATCTGACGGACGCTAAGCCCTATTCCAGATAATTTTGACGAGTGGCAGCAACGCAATGATTTGTGCGCTATCTGCGGATATTGGGCCCCGAACCCGTTCGTAAAACATGTTCATCGCAATTCATTTCGTTCCCTGAAATCTGACGGTATCATGGCTGGCCTCTGCCACGTTGAATGGGGACCGGAATGGCCTCGCTTGTTGTCCACCGTTTCGGGGCATCCGATATTGATATCTCCAACAACATTTGCTACTGCCTGCGACCCAAAGGCGTGGCTGACTTGGTAGCCCATCTGATACAATATCCCGAACCATTATCCAATATCCCCAGATCACACAACCACATTAGGAAGGTCAGTCGCAAGAAGCCTGAGGGAGCAAGAAATGTGATGTCTGAAGCCTCCCGCTCTTGGTGTAACGTGCTTTCGCTTGTCTCTCGCTTGTTTTGTTCCGTGGCTCGTGGCCCTTCCCAATCCGGCGTGTTTCGCTTACTACTGGCCAATCAGCAATTTCCCGGCTCGCTTGTTTGGCCTTCAACTATTCACAAGTCTGGTAGCACAACTCTCTGTCCGGCCTATCCCCGCCCATCTTGCCCATCCATCATGGAGGCCCTTCACACTCCGAAACTTCCTTTTTCTTGTCTCCCACCACGTTTTTGTCCCGGCCCGACCCTGTGGTCTCCCCTGCTACTCGCTCCCTTGGCATCCTCTTACGCACATGCATTGTGCCGGATTGTCCAGTTGACGTCCTCCCATAGCGAGGTGGCGTCGACTATGTACCGCCATCTCTACCGAACTCTGGTAGCCATGTCATTGGATCTCACCGGTGGTCCAGGGACTCCGGCACTCCGGGTTTTCTTACTCCCATTTCCCGCGTCGATATTCTGCGCGGAAGGTCTTCGCTCTCGCTTGTCTCGGGATCTTATTCGCCAGTTCGACGCTATTGCTCCACCGGAAGTGTGCTTGGCCATGCTCCATCTATCACGACCTATTAGCAAAGAAAGTGCTCACTAGAGTTGTGATCTTCCCCTGCAATCTAGCCTCTTTTACATCCATTTGGCCCTGTGAGAAGAAGGATGAAAACAATAAACATACTAAGCCAGAGTTCTCTAGTGAAAAAGCCAAGCTTGACAGACTTGTCGTGGCCAAGAAAATCCAACTTCAGAAAGGCGCTGCGTGGTCCGTAGAGGTACCCTCTTACGCTCCCCCAAGCACGCTCGTATCCATTTTCCCCAGAATGATCTCCATCGGCGCGGTCTCCGATCTCCTTGTCCGCCCCTTTCTTTATGTCTGACACCAGGTACAGGGACCAGAGAGTAATGAAACGCTGTTAGTCAGTCCAGCGGCCCATTCTTGGTCCTTCCTCGTCCGGGCCGCATCCCCATTCTGATCCCGGCCTGCTACCGAGCTGACGGACATATGGGGTATGGGTCTTACCCGTAAAGGGCATGTGTAAACGGACTCTGTCTCAGCTTCACGCCTACCTTACTCCAAGTGGGTAGCTAAAAGCCAACAGAGGCCTGTTTCCTTTCTTCATCCTCCAAGTTTCTTTCCTCGCGGCGGTCAATCCGTCAACTTCCGCCAACAACACCGAAGAAGACAAGAAAAAAAACAAGAAAGAGATGGCACGGTGACAAGACACTCGTACCAGAGCTCTTGTGGCCCAATAGTCTGAAATGAAAAAGAGGCTGAACAGACGACAGTTGATCTCCTCTCCTATCTTTAGCAGCATCGGGTATCATCACATGCCATTTCGATCTACAATACCAATTGCCGACTAGTTGCTGAGTATTAGTACAAGAGATCCAACACGCTTGGCCAATATTTCCGCCCCCTTTCCCAATCAGAACAAGCCTCAAGTACCAGAGTCCCCTTCGGTCTCTACGTACATCACACATCACAGGCAGGATACAGTTACACAGGCTCCATATAATCACCCAGCTGCTCCCTGAGGAGATCATTTTGGCCGCATTGTTCTTGGAGCCAAGAGATATATGACTGTCTTTTGACAGTCGTCCCCTCCGTCGACCCTCCAAATCACATCTTTCCTGTTTACAACATCTTACTCTTGGGATACATCCTATCCTACAGTCTTACCATGTGTCGACAACCGTCAGAACAATCGGTACAGGCTGCCCTCAGCGCAATCGTGCCCAGTCACGTAACGGTCCATAGCTTGCGGCCCGTTGCTTCCCTTCGACCGCAGAGGATATTCGAAGTCAGTCTTTCTGACGGTAAAACGCTCCTCCTTTCACTCCCGCCACAAGCCCTCTTCAGACTCTTGAGGCACGAACAATCCATAATAGGCTCCGAAGCCGCGACAGTTCGATGGATCAGGGATGCTCTTACCAGAAACCACGCGACGAGATTCACAAACCCAACACTTCAGAGATTCCTCCCGGCCCTCGCGCATACATCCAGTCACGGTCCTGTCGAGCTGGGTTCAGCATATAACGTCTTTGAGCATCAACATGGCATCCCTGTTGCCTTGTTACCCTCTCCCCCCAGCCATGCGGAGCGCAAACGTCTGGATAAGCACCTCGGTCAGCTTTACCGATCCCTCTCATCGATAACATCGCCGTCTGGGAGGTTTGGCCCCGTGGCTGCCGTGGTCCCTAGGATGCCAGGAATAGAACTGTCGGACAAGACGGCGGGGTTCGGAGAAGGCGGGTTGATGGCAGCCGACGGAGCAAGGAACTGGTCAACTGCTTTCCAGTCATTACTAGAGGGTGTTCTAAGAGACGGCGAAGACATGGCAGTCACAATGGCTTACTCCCCGATACGAAGACACTTCAGGCGATTTGCGCACTTGCTCAACGAGGTCAAGGTGCCGAGGCTGGTGGTTGTCGACATGGCTGATGACACAAACACCTTGGTCACCGTGGAGAGAACAACAAGTACAAACGGATATAGCAGCAGCTACATGGCAGCACCCCAACCAGCAGCATCCGCACCAGCATCAGACAGCACCGGTGGTGACCGACAACTAACGCTCACCGGCCTTCAAGATTGGAGCAACTGTGTCTTTGGTGATCCCCTATTAGCCACTGTTTTCAGCGACGGCGTCTCGGAATCCTTCATGGAAGGCTTCGAAACCGGCCCTACTACTACAAATGCGAACGATCTCAGCAGCAGCAGCAGCAGCAGTAGAAACACAAGCGTCAGCACCCACAGCACCAACACAGGAGTCATGTCCATCACAGCCATCACTGAACAAACCACCATTGCTCCTGCACCAACAATCTCCAGCCCCCCACCACAACCACCAGCAGCACACGCCGCCGCCAGCACCAACAACACCGACGACATCTCCTCCCTAATCGAAGACCTCCCCAACGCCAGCATCCGCCTCCTTCTCTACCAAGTGTACCACGCAGCCCTTTGCGTAGTCAAGGAATTCTACCGACCTCGATCGTCGTCGTCTTCCCCATCCACCTGCTCCTCCTCCTCCACGTCTCCATCCTCCTCCTCCTCCTCCTCCAGCTCTCTAAGCACCAACAGGGAACTGGAAGCCCGAAAAAAGCTTACGGAGGCTTTGAACAGGTTGGAGAGTGCTGTGCCGGTGGTAGTAGCACCGATGATGGGGTCTCTCCTTTCCAAAACTTCTTGGCAGCAGCACTCTTCTTCCACTTCCTCCTCTTGTTGTTCGACTACTTCCTCCTCGTCCTCGAAGAAGCTAAAGAGTTTCCTCGCTGGTGGTGGGAGTAATAATTCGTCGTCGCCTGTTGTGAGTGCTAGGTCGTTGTTACTTGTTGGCGTGAAGGATAGTAGTAGTAGTGGTAGTGGTAGGAGTAGGAGTAGGAGTAGTGATAGCGTTCTGTTAGCGAAAAAGAAGTTGCATCATCGGCCGAGTGGGGGGGATATGAGCCCTGCGAAGAGGGCGAAGAGTGCTAGTGATGAGGAGAGGGAGTGATGAACAAACCGAGAAGGAGAGGAAATGCGGGACTGTCTGTGTACTTTCAAATCTGATGGCCGGCTTGGACAGAGGAGTCTGGATGGCGTGCAATTGTTTGTCTGTCTATTTTGGGGAAGTGGGATATTCTAAAGTTCGGAAGGGAAAAGTACAGAGAGAGCATGGCATCAAGCACTGATTTGCATAGGACTTTAGGACGGTACATATGTAACACGTGAAAACGAATCAAAAATGTTTTCCAGTTCTTTCATTGTTCCTTTTCCTTGCCTCCCGCCCCTTCTGCTATCCTATCCTATCCTATCCTATTCCTTTAGTTTTCGTGAGTTGTGGTAAATGTTCGTTCCCCATAAAGACAGAAAACGCCATGCTATGTTCTTAGTCTACAAAAAAACACATAAGTGGATGTAGAGTAGTGGTAGTAATTCGTTACAAAAAAAAAAAAAAAAAACCAGACCTCCATCCCTAGAACCCGATTTCTTTCATCCTTTTCATCGTTGATATTTTGACTTGCTTCTTTCAGCTGTTCACCCCGACCTCGTACCATGCGCAGCTATGGCACAGCATACCAGAGCATACCGTGCCACCCAGCATGTCTTCACTCTTCACTTTGGTTGTTTCTCTGAGAATCCCTGCATGATTCTCCTTCCTCCGCCTTCCTCCTCTCATGTCCAACCCCTTTCGATTCTCACCACATCCCATTCCTTACTCCTTGTTGTCTTCTGATTCATCATAAAGTACGTGATCATTGGTACTTCAACAACCGCCCATCTTTACCCTCCACATATTCCACCCCAAGCATCTGCGTCGAAAACGCGCAGAACCGATCCTTGATCGCCACAACCTCATATGCACCCTCCTGGCTGGCCTTGATGACCTTGCTATACTCGTCGCTGATATCGTGCTTGGTCTCCAGTACCGTAGCGCGCTCACCCTTCTTCTTGGGGTTGGTGCTGCGAGTGTACGTGAACTCGAACGGCGGGGTACCGTAGAACTCGAAAAGAATCTCGACCTCACCACCCTCGTGGATGTCCACCTGCACCTGCTTACCCTTGGAGATACGCGCCGCGGGGAGCGGATGAATCGTCTTGGAGATGTTGACGGGAGCGCGGCACTCGGATGCCCGGTCACTAACCGAGGTAATCGTGAACTCACCGGGGTGCTCGGCGATACGGCGGAAAGTGGTGGTGGGAGATTTGGCCCTGGACTCCTCGCCGTTGAAGGTATACCACACTTCGAAGGGAGCGGCACCAGCGAGGGAGTACCCAAGACGTTCGCCGACGCAGTAGTCGGTGCGAGTCTCGAGAGGATAGATGGTGGGCGCCTCGAAGAGCTGGATCTGGACCGAGTGGGCCTTGCCATCGGGAGTGTCTCTGTGGGCGGAAGTGTAATCGGAGATAGAGTGGCAGCCGCTGCCGTCGCGAACGCTGCGAATGCGAATCGTTTGGGTTCCGAGACGCAGCTGGTGACGCGGGATCTGGATCTCGTATGAGTTGGAGTTGATGGCAGGCGTACGGTACACTTCCGGAATCGGGCTGCTTTGGTGTCTGATCTCGAACTCGAGGTTGAAGGGAGGAACGCCATTGAGAGCGATGGGGATCGACTCTGATTCGCCTTGGTCCGTCTTGCAGTACTTGAAGGTCTGACCGGGCTTGACGAAGGCGGCAGTGGGTTTTTGGTTAACCTTCTGCTTAACAGTGACGGGCTTGAAAGTCCGGTCATTAGTGTAGAGGTTATCCGAAAGTGAGTTGAACGTGTACGTGTACTGGCCCGCCCTGGAGGTGTCTGCCGAGACGGAAGCTTTGCCGAGGGCAGCTTCAAAATCTTTCCTACTGATGGAGGCTGGCCCAGACGCAGGTTGGTGACGAATCTGGTACTCGACATGGAAGGGAGGCGTTCCTGGGAAAACGTCAGCAGGCTGTAAGAAAGGAAGGTGCCTAATGGAGCGGCTTATAGTATATTTACCTTTGAGTGCAACTTCAAATCCAGACACATCACCCTCACAGACATCGCTTACAACGAAGTTGTTGGTGCCATCGGGCTGAACATGCGCAGACTGCACAATGGCGAGCTCTGGACGAGGATACCAGTTCACTTCGAAAGACGATGCCTTCGGATCAACAATGCCGTGGCACTGCCGATCCCAAACATCTGTGATCTGGAAGATACCCTTGGTGCGAACATCAAGGAAATCATTGTCGTTCTTGACCGTCTTTTCCAGGACCCTGGGGGCGGTTCTCGAGGTGTCATTAACATTGCTGTAGAAAACCTTCCATGGGCCCTCTCCAGTGAGACGAAGCGGTAGCTTGACCGTCGAGCCTTCAACTGCCATCGTCCTGCGTTTGGCATCGATAAGACCAAATGCTGCTCTTGGGTTCTGGCGGCGCACTGAGATCTTGACCTCATCCTGCACGAAGTTACGGCACGCTCTCTTGTCCTGGACGCTTGTCAACGCCAGGGTATACTCGCCGCCCTTGGCAAGGGAGCCCGTCTTGATCTGATACTTGTTCGTCTGAATATCCTTGACCTTGTGCTGCTTTCTCTTGCCATCATGGATAATCTCCCATTCCAGCGTAAATGGCGCGTCACCCTGAAGCAACACATCCACCGAGACATCGTCGTTAAGACAAGCGGCCATGTTGCCCGTTCTGTGCATGATGCTGGCAGAAGCTGCTGGCTTGACATCTTGTTCGAGGGTATACTCGGGCCCGCTGAGCTTTTGAGGTTCGTAGATGGAGTCGCCGATGTGAGTGAACACATACTTGTGATGTCCGGCGATTCTAGGGATGAGTTCTTGCTGGAAGCGTAGGCCATTAACCTTGATACGCTCGGCCGAACGCTGCCCATTGGAAATGACCTCGTATCTGACATTGAAGGGCGGGGTACCAATCAGGTCCATGTCGACGCGCAATCCAATGGAATTTCCAGCGCAAGTATCGGGGATCTCCTCTGAGCGAAGCGTGAGCTTGGGCTCGAGAGGGTTCAGCAGCAAGCAAGAAGACGGCTCCTGAACCTCTCCCTCGCATTGGTCGGCAACGACCGACTTGAGAGTGTACAAGCCGGGTGTAGAAATTCTCGGCCGGTCCCTGGCATTCTTGGCGTCGTAGGTGCCGATAGAAACGACATCACCATGGTCACCGCTCTTGGTGAGGGTGTCAATCGGCGAGAACAGCCAGCTGATGGTGTGCGTAGTGTCATTAGGTACGGACCCAGGAAGTTCATATCTGATTGGAAGATCCTTGGAGCCGCCCCTGGCAACCTTCAGAGGGTTTCTCACGTCGCATCCTTCAAGACGCACACGCGGTCGCTCCTTGACGTAGAGGTTCTGCACCAAATGCTTTGGCTTTGTCTTGGGATCCAAGTCGTCGGCGTGGCCGGTGTACCTAACAACGTTACCGAACGCATCATGGACCTCATCGACGGAATACTGCCAAGCTCCGCCAACGTTCATGGATTCATTGAGGCTGACGGGGACCCGCTGAGCTCGAGCCCAGGAGACATCATCATCCTCGACGAGTCTCACAAGACTACGCGAAGCACCGAGGAGCGGAGAGGAGAAGCCCTCTGGCTGCAAGCTCTGAATATGGAAGCTGTGGTCCTTGCCGTTGATGGTGCGGCTATAGCTGACCTTCAGTGGCGGCGTGCCATCAACCAAGAGGCTGAGATCAGACAGATCACCGACACAGCGGTTTGGCGAAGGGACTACCCCCACGCTAGCGCGAGGGCAAGGAACCACGAAGGTCAAGGGAGTCCTGCGATGAACTTCAAGCTTATACTCGTCAAGCGCCTTGCCCAATCGATAGGCACCAGGCTTCTCGACGGGGAAGTTGTACTTAACAGTGAAGATCTCATCATCTGCGTTCCTTTTGACCTCATGCTTGATTTCTTTGAGCTGGCTTCTGGTCAACTTGATGACTTCGTGTTCGTTGGTTTCGAGGTCGGTGCGAATAATCTCGACATCGATGGGAGTCGTCGCATTGAAGAACAGAGGGATCGAGGCAACCTTGGTATCCCCTCCGATGCAGTACGGGGTGTTTTCGGGGTTGAGCACCACGGAACTGGTAAATAGTCAGCTTTGTTACTTGCTATGACGGATGTGCTTGACTTACCCTTCTGGGAGAATGTTGATGATCTGCCTACCCATGAGGAGGGAGTGGTTGTAGAGGATGCTGGACACCTTGACTTGATGCTCGGTAATGGCAAGCTCTCGGTCGTAGAAGACCTTGACAAATCCGAATAGCCATGTTTGCCATGGGAGGCCGATATTGAACATGAGCATCCAGTCAACCAGAGCGTGGGCAACAAAGGCGAAAACGACGAAGGATTGTGATAGTTCGAGCCATGGTATCCTAAGCTCTGGCAGGCCGAAGAGAAAGATGAGGTCTAGGGCGATCCACTTGAGGAATAGCCAGAAAGACTCGGTGTTTTCTTCCACCACTTGGGTCCAGTCGTACAGCTTCCAGGCAAAAAGAGCCGCGTAGATGGCAACGGCATAGAGGCGCTGCGTGGGCGCATCGATAACGTGAAGCGGGATCACAGGCCCCGGACCTGTTGGTGCCGGCGCATTTCTTTGGGGAGCGACGGGGAGGGCATTGGGGGTTGCCGTCCGGGTGCGATTCGCGGGAGGAGCTTCGGGTCGTCTTGGTCCGGCCATGGGAAAGCCGCCTACAGAATCCTTGCCTGCCATGGCATGCCGAGTCTGTGAAGGGCTTGACGGCTTCGAGGCCGATGAGGTGGTGTTTGGGAAGTCGAATGTAAACCAGCGAGGGTGCGGCTCGGGTTTATCAGTACTGGTTGGGTATGCTGAGCTAGGTACGCAACGATGTGCACGTTGTGGTTGTCGTCGTGATCGTCGTGGCCGTCGTCGTGGCTATCGTCGTCGTCGTTATCGGTCGCCGAAGGACGGATGGTCCGCGGGGAGAGGCGTGATAGTTCAAGGCCTCAGTCGTTGAGAGTGGTGGTGTTGAGATGCGGCATCAACAACAGGCATTCTCTTCCCTTTCGGCTGGGATTTTGATGTTCTGTTTGCGGGCAGGCAGAGACGGGCCTACTTGGTAAAAAGTCACGTCAAAGACGCGGTTATGGTCTTGAGGTTTGCAGTCGCTGCCCACTGCAGTGGGTGTGCTGGCTGGCCTGCTAGCGTGTGCCAATTAGACGATTATTATTGGACCAGGCAAGACAAGATGACCCATAATGAGTTGGGACCCAACGGGAACCTTCCCCACTTGCCGCCATCTTTCTGTATGGTTGGTCAGTGCTTTCTGAAGCTTCCCCTGCCTTCAGCTGCTTTAAGCTGTCAGATAGTGCAAGCGAAAGTAAACAAGATGTTGTTCAGCAAAGATGGGCAGCACTTTATTGAAAGCTCCTAGTAGCAGCAATCTTTAAGAGTTCAAGATGTGTCTGAACTTGGAACTGATACCCAAAATGCTCTCGTGCACCCCGGTGCACAAATGCTTGATGACACTGCAGGAGAGGTGGTCCCCCATGTACCTCCCGTTAACGTCTAGCAGCTGCTCAAGGCTCAAGCGTCTGCGTGCGCCTGCGACAACACTTAGACGAAAAGTCACAACGTCCAACGAACCTCCTCCATGGTCGTCGTTCTTTCTTTACAACCTCACCATCTTGTCACGTCAATACAGTTGCCGCTTATTAGTCTTCCAATCGGGGCCTGGCCTGGAAGTCAATTCACCAAACCGTTTTATTCAAGCTGTCAAGGATTATCGGACGGAATGCAAGCGAGTTCTTGGTGCAGTCACTTACAACATCCCGGCGCACTCTCCTCTTAATGCTCTCGTACCGTCAACTCCCATTCAGATTTATCCATCGACTTTGGGAGCGAACAACATAGCCTCCAAACCAGAGTTCTCTGTGACGTTCGCGGCATGCCTTACGCGAGTCTCACAGTCACAAGTCACAAGGCAAGATCCCGCGGTACACTCTCTAACTGTCAGTAAGACGAGAGCTGGAAAAGACAAGCAGCCTGCCCTTCACCCTCTTTGGCCTTTCAACATTCGTCCCTCAGCTTGACCGGTTCACTGCTTTTCGAATCCATCAACTTCATTTCACGAGACCTTCTTTCAGATATGGATCCAAACAGTGAGCCCGCAGCAACCCGTCGCTCAGGGCGTGCCCGCAAGCCAAACACAAGATATGCGGAACTCAGCTCTGACGACGAACTCAATTCGCCCGCCGGCGTGAAGGCCAGCCGGAAGAGGGCGTCGCTCGACTCCAAGTCTTCAGCAAAGCTGGAAGAGTCAGCCAATCCCGAGGGATCATCGATGCTCAAGGAGTCACCCGCTACAGAGGAGCCAAAGACAGCTATTCGGCCTCGACGAAATGCCAAGCGCAAGGCAGCCCCCGAAGTCTTTGACGTGCCCGTGAACGTCCTGGAGGCTTCGTTAGGACCATGGCAAGAGAATGAGCTAACAGAATGGCCAAGCTGGACGGACGTGGAATCTGACCCAGTCTTCTTCAATCGTATCCTCAGACTGCTCGGCATACGGGAGGCCAAAGTGAGAGAGGTGTTGTCTGTTGACGAGGAATCGCTCCTCCTTCTCCCGTGAGTTGATAGCGCTCCCTATGTTGCATCAAGGGCTATCAACAGGTACTGACTGCGCGTAGGGAACCTCTCTATGGCCTAGTGTTCCTATTTCAGGTCATGGAAGAGGAGGAGGAGGATCTGGAACCAGATGAGGACTTTGGATTATGGTTCGCCAACCAGGCAAGTCTCTAGTCTCTCCTTTGGCGCCTCCCTCGGTTATCGACTGTGGCTAACCTTGGTTTATAGACGACCAACAACGCTTGTGCGACAGTTGCTTTATTCAATATCATCATGAACGCCCAAGACCTTCCACTGGACACAAATCTGTCCAAGTTCAAGGAGGAATCTAGACCCCTATCTCCACCGTTGCGTGGTCACCTTCTCAGCAACAGTTCGTGGATAAGGGTAGCACATAACCATTTTGCACGGTACGTACCTTATTCCGCTTCCCGAAGGGCTGACCATAATCGGCTCTAGCTGACGTTTCAACAGGCGTCTGGACCTTCTCAATGCAGCCCTGGCCCTCGAGAACAAGGCTGAGGAAAGCAAAAAGAAGCGGGCTAGAACCACAGCGCGCCGTAAGAAGGGGCAGGAGATCGAGGATGCCTATCACTTTGTTGCATATGTACCAAACCACCGGGACCGTAGCGTATGGGAACTCGATGGGCTGAAGTTTAACCCTCGCTACGTTGGTATGCCCCCCTTGTTCCAACGAGAGAATTGAGACAAGATGTGGCTAACAGATAATGTAGGAAAATTCGAGGAAGGGGCGCACTGGACAAGTGTAGCCCAGCCTGTCATCCAGGAAAAGATGATGGAGTATGAAGCCGGTCAATTGGCGTTTAGCCTCCTCGCTCTTTGCGGAGACCGTCGGGCCGCACTGCGGCGTCAACTCGCTGTCAACATCCATTGCACAAAATTGCTGGATGATGCATTCGGAAGAGAATCGGCCTGGTTTGAGGAAGATAATGAGTCGCCTTCATTCAAGGACCATATCAGCAACTTCAACGACATGAGTAAACTTGACGAGTTCCAGCTCAGTGCGGACGAAGCTCAACTCATTATCGAGAGTTCAGCAGATGCCCATCAGTTGCAAGATAAAATACAGGCCGGTGGTATGGAGATGGCTGAGGCGCTGCTTTTTAGAACGGAGCTCCGCCAGAAACAGGAGCAGATTCGGGCGGAGTACTACACTGAAGTCGCTTCTGGGCCGGAAGGTGACGAGGACGGTGATTCTCAGGATGAAGATCCTGGACGGAGGAAGGACCACACACCAGCAATTCATGAATGGGTGACGAAGCTTGCCGAGCGTGGTGTGCTGAGGGAGCTACACGAACAGGTGAAATCGCGAAACGGTTCATAAACATACATCCCTACGAGGACTGGTTATCAACTGGGAGGGTACTTGGGCCGCTTCTGAAGCAGAAAGTCATTTCCCAGGGATGCGCAAGATCAAGGGAAAAGGGCTTTGTCACGGCTCAAAGATCGGAATGTGGGTTTCGATTTCGGACAAAGCCGGGCTACCAACCAGCCCATTCCCAACGGTCAACTTAAAATTAATTTGATAAAAGTGAAACAAGTTGAAAATAGGTGTTGGGGGGTCATGACGCGCAGGAATTTTGCCATATGGTCTCTTGATCGACGATGTCTCGATGCCTTGCAAGTTGAATAACTTCCATTACAAGTCTGTATCACACGTTTCTTGTGACGTAATTTTGGACAACCTCCCATGGCCCGGTGGACGATAAGGGCAGGCGGTCAAGTGGTTGTAGCGACTCGTTAAGCCGGCAGAAAGGTGGACGCCAACGACCCAACTCCGGTTTGAGAAGGCGGTCTCGAGTCGGTCGACGACCTGGTTCCCGCCAAGGCCAGATTTTCGCTGGGCAGAAGGAATGACGGCATGACCCCTGCCACTGCCTGTCAATCATCCAGACTTTCAGAGAAGCATTGACCTGCACCACTGCCGTAGGAGGGGGACCTCGAAACTGAAAGGCACCGTGACCAACCCGACACTTTACCACCACCTTCTTGTCCTGGTCTGGTCACGTATTCATACCTGTCTTGTTCCTCCACCAACAAACATTCTTCCCCTTCCTCTCGATTTTTGCTAGAAAAGGGCTGTAAAAGCATCTGTCTTGACCTTTGGTGAGCATCTCCTGCCAGTATCCCTTCTGGAACACCATCTTCACATGTATGCAGAGGCGACTAAATAGCAGGCTGCATCTTTTCTCAGAGCCCCAACTGACCAACTTTTTTTAAAAGACCCTCCTTGCATCCGGCGACAACGAAAAAAAAAAAACCACGACAAGCGCCAGACACAACAACATCCATTTCTTCCGTTCACGAAGTCCCAAGTGAATCTTCAACTCCATCTACGCAACCGCAATCATGTCGAAACGGCCGAGCCATGCGTCGGTCGCCAATGGCGCCGCAACCCAGGACGACTCAACCTCCGCCGCTGTTACCGAGTTCGATCGCTGTATGTTTTCCTTCCTTATCCCCGGCTTTCCGCGAACCCGGTCGATATCATCTACCATCCGCTGTTCGAAAGAACCAAACCATTCGGCGCTTAATGCAGACAATTGTTGCTAACATGGCGCGTCAATCGGCAGCTCACGACAAGCAGAAAATTCTCTTCTCTACAGATGCGGGGCACTTCTCTCTGATCCGCGCGATGCACCTCGCGGATCTCATTACTGAGTTGAATGGTTAGTTTCTGTCTCTTGGTATCCTCTCGCGCATTCTGTCTGGTTGGGGTAGGGAGCCGGCGCTTGTGACACTGGGCTTTCGGGCTATAAGCACCAAAGAAGCAAGGTCGTCACGAACTACGCGGTTTCCCGGAAGGACAATGTCGACGCATAACTTCTGCGCGAGTTGGGATGTTATAGGATGACGTGGGAACAGAATGCTAACGCCTTTGCAACTCTCCTAGGCCTTTGCGGTATTCTCTCCCTCTTCTCCTCTTTGCGGTACTGCCTTGGCGACCCCGCCGACAAGACCAACCTCTACTACGCGCTTGCCTTCCTCCCCTTCGGCCTGTTTTTCGATTTCATGGATGGCAAGGTAGCGCGTTGGAGGAAGAAGAGCAGCATGATGGGCCAAGAGCTGGACTCGCTGGCTGATCTGGTACGTACAATATTACCTCCCCCCATCCAGGACATCAAACATTCTGACTCGTAACCCCCCATCCACCAGATCTCCTTCGGCGTCTCTCCCGCCGTCGTCGCCTTCGCCATCGGTATCCGCACCCCTCTCGACCATCTCTGCCTCGGCTTCTTCATCCTCTGCGGCCTCACCCGCCTCGCCCGCTTCAACGTGACCGCGACCGCCATCCCGAAGGACGCCAACGGCAAGGCCGCCTACTTCGAGGGCACGCCGATCCCCACGACGCTCGGTCTGGACGCCATCATGGCCTACTGGGTGTCAAAAGGCTGGATCCATGACTCGCTTCCGTGGGGTACCATGTTCCAGGGCACCGCGCTCGAGTTCCACCCTATTGTGCTCATCTTTATGATCCACGGGTGCTTGATGACGAGCAAGACCATTCACATTCCCAAGCCTTGAAACTATGGGGCCTGCAGGGTTTACGAAATTGTGACGAGAGGACAACGACGGGATGGATAAAGGTGTTTATGGAAAGGGAAAGGGCCTGGATTTCAACAAGGAAGAGGCCTGCTACGAGTTGGACGTGGGTGGGAAAGAGAAAGGGAAGACTGAGAAAGGCTCTGAGAAAGGTCTTGAGCAGGAAAGCAAAAGGCGAGAGAATCCTTCATCAGGTGAACAGCCGAGATAAAAAGAAAACGAAGAAGAATGAAAGAAGAAGGAAACTAGCCGTTGGTCTGTAGGGGGTTTTGGGAATTGTTGAAACGACTATCATGCCTGCTCTTTTTCTCCCGCCATTTCCTTTTCTGGTTACTATCAGGTGTAGTACGAGTGTGTGCTTTTCTATTTAGAATACAAATACCCTCTACCTCTTCCCCGCCTTCGGCCTCTACTCCGTACTCCGTACTCCGTCTACGCGGAGATTTGTCTATAATTCGCATTTCGATCTGCGCAGAAAGGCACCAATGCGCCCGGGCGACAGACCACAAAACCAACGAATAGCATCAAAAGCCTCAAAACATGAACAAAGATGAATCGCCTCTTTCTCTACCTTTCTGTAACAAGCATATGCTAGACTAAATGCTCCGACTATAACCCGTACTCCTACCTACTCCATCTTGCTCCCAACATGAACTTTTGAATATTTATTCTTGCTTTATGTACTCCCTTACTTTAGTTTGATTTAAGCCTTGACCTCCTCCTTGGCGGTCTCCTCCTTGGCAGCCTCCTCCTTCTTGGGGTTGTGAGCAGGGAAAGGGTTGTACATGCCGCGATCGGCCTTGAGCGCGCGAAGCTTCTCGACGGCCTCATCGAGAGGGTAGGGCACGTCACGCGCCTGGGTAGAGGTGTCGTCACGGTAACGGATGTTGACCTTGCGGTTGGTCTTCTCGTCGTCGCCGACGACGATGATGAAGTTGTCTGTGTGGAGGGGGATGTGTGGTTAGAAGGTGTATTATTTTCGCCAAAGGGGTAAAGGACCTGGGTTAGGTCCCGGAGGAGACTTGACGGGACTTACATTGAGCGAGCTGAGCGGAACGAATCTTCTTCTGGAGGGTATTGCCACTGCTGTCGACATCTGTTGTTGTGGTTTGGTGTCAGTGTTTGTTATTCAACGGTAGTGACAAAGGGATAGATGCATGATAGTGAGTAAGGGGGTAAACATACCGACGTGGATCTTCTCCTTCTTGAGGGTCAGGGCAACCTCCTTGGCGTAATCAAGGAAGCCCATGCCGACGGGGATGACCATGACCTGGCGGGGCGACATCCAGAAGGGCCACTTGCCAGCAAAGTGCTCGGCAAGAATGGCAGTGAAGCGCTCGATGGAGCCAGCCATGGCACGGTGGATCATGACGGGGCGGGCGCAGCCGGGGGCAAGAGGCTTCTTGACAAGAAGAGCCTTCTTCTTCTTCTCCTCACCCTCCTTGGGGGCCTCCTCCTCCTTAGGAGCCTCAGGCTCGGGGGCCTTGGGGGCGGGCTTGCCCTCATCCTGCTTGGCCTGGGTCTCAGCGGTCATGTACTCGAGAGAGAAGTTGATGGGCTGCTGGAAGTCGAGCTGGATGGTGGCGCACTGCCAGGGGCGGTTGAGGCAGTCCAAAACAGCAATATCGATCTTGGGGCCGTAGAAGGCACCATCGCCCTCGTTCAGCTCCCAGGTGCCACCAGTAGCAGTGGAGAACTCATCGAGAGCCTCCTTGAGGCGAGCCTCGGCGCGGTCCCAGGTCTCGATCTCACCCATGTACTTCTCGGGGCGAGTAGAGAGCTTCATCTTGAAGGTGAGACCAAGCATGCCGTAGAAAGACTGCATGAAGTCAAACAGATCGGCAACCTCGGCCTTGATCTGATCCTCACGGCAGAAGATATGAGCATCATCCTGCTGGAATCTGCGCACACGGGTGAGGCCGGAGAGAGCACCGCTGGCCTCGTTTCTGTGGAGCACACCGAAATCAGCAAGCCTGAGGGGGAGCTCCTTGTGGCTGCGATCACGGTGACGGAACATCATGGCGTGGGCAGGGCAGTTCATGGGCTTAAGACCAAACTGCTCCTTGTCAACGTCAAGGATGAACATGTCATCCTTGTAGTGGGCCAAGTGGCCGGACTGCTCCCAAAGGGAGACGTTGAACATGTTGGGAGTCATAACCTCGTCGTAACCGCGCTTCCAGTACTCCTCCTTGATGTATTCCATGATGGCGTTGTTGATGCGCATACCGTGGGGCAGCCACATGGCGGAACCGGGCGAGCACTCCTCGAAGTAGAAGAGCTCCTGCTGCTTGCCAATGAGGCGGTGATCGCGCTTGGCAGCCTCCTCAAGGAACTTTTTGTGAGCGGCCATTTGCTTCTTGTCAGGGAAAGAGACACCATAGATACGCTGGAGGGAGTCGTTGTTGGCGTCACCAAGGAAGTAGGAAGAAGAGTTCTTCATGATGGCGAAAGCCTCGATTCTGCTGGTATCGGGGACGTGAGGACCACGGCAGAGATCGATAAGGGGGCCGTTACGGTAGACAGTGGTTCTGGTGCCGTCGGGGATCTTGTCCTTGATGATGTGCTGCTTGTATGGGTTGTAGGCGAACATCTTGAGCAGATCCTCCTTGCTCATCTCCAGTCTCTGGAAAGGCTGCTTCTCCTTGACGATCTTGGTGACGATGTTCTCGAGGGGCGCCCAGTCGCTAGACTGGACGGCGGCACCGCCGGGAAGAGCCATTTCGTAGTAGAAGCCGTTGTCAACGGGGGGACCAATGCAGAGGGAGCAGCCGAATCTGCGCTCGCAGGCCTCACCGAGGATGTGGGCACTCGAGTGCCAGAAGACGAACTTGCCCTGGTCGTCGTTGAAGTCGAGGAGTTCCAGCTTGCAGCTCTTCTCGAGAGGACGCTCGAGATCCCATAGTGTCTCTCCGTCGATTCTGGCGACAACGGTGCGCTTGAAGAGGGAGTTGGAAATGCCCTTTGCGATCTCGGCGGGGGTGATCTCGTAGGCCTTGCCGGCCTTGGTGGTGCCGTCGGGCATGGTGATAAGGATGTCATCGTGGGGGCGCTTGGCCAGCTCCTCCTGCTGCTCCTTGTACAGTCTGTCGAAGAGGTCGAGGCGCTCCTGGATGAAGGAAGGAGGGGGGTTCATCTCGAGAGGGCCGGCATCGCCGCCAGCGGCGGGGGCAGCAGCCTTCTCCTTCTTCTGCTTCTTCTCCTTCTGGGGCTTGTCGCCGCCAATGGCGACCTTCTTGAGGGTCTCGGTGACCTTTTCGGTAACCTGCTCCATGTTGAAATGTGTCGATAGAACCTCGGGGGTGTTCGGTTTGCGACTGAAGGGTTCCTACAGATAACAATATCGCGGGTTCTGTCAGAGACCCGGGCCGTGACTCACTTGGACGTGTGTGGTCGCAAAGCTTTTGGAGTAACTTGTAGAGGGACGGAAGGGCGGGAAGGAGGGGGATGTTAATGGGACACTGGATGGGACTTTACTCACTCTGAGACACGACAGCACAGAAGGGAACGTCTGGACCGGAACGAAGGCGGCGCAAAGAGACACCGCAAGGGGAAATTTTAGGACACTTTTACCCCGCGGTCCAGATCAATTGGGGGCAAAAGTGGGGTGCTGCTGAGGCGTGTCAGTCTTGCTGCACGAGCGAGCACGAGGTGGAAGCCGCATATCAAACCCAACAGTCACGACACGGACACGGCACGGCAAGGGCGGGAACGAACCCCTGCGGGCACAAGCATCAGTGCGCGTTAAGGTACTTAACAGCGGACGCTCGGGCCATGTTATCAGCCGTCGTGCCGTCCCAACTTTTGGCACCTAAATGCCTGCCTGACCTTGCGCTACGACGATAATAAAGCCAAATAATTAGATAAGGTGCCGTCATTAGGATTCCAGGTACCGAGACGCCTCCCATTTTAGGTTTTGTCTTTACCACTAATATGACGCCGGTATTGATTTTTCAACCTCATTCCGGCACGCGGAGAACTCTTGCTTCCACTTTGCTTCTGCATTCCCGTCCCTCTTCCCTGTGCCGATCTGCCCCAGTAGCACATCGCTGAATTTCCGCTCGACAGAGTCTCGACTCTCGACCCCAAATCCCAGAGCTGAGCTCTTTCTCCATACCTCTGACGTCCTAAACAAATCAGCTCCCGACAACTCAGCGTCCAGGATCCGGACCGGGAGATATATTGGCGACTAACACCTCGCTTGGGTGTGCACATGGAGAGCCACGCCATGACGTCCTCGTCACTGGACCGTTTTCCCGATGAGCTCATCCGTCACATCCTTCTATATGTCTCGCCCGAGGACAACGTCCTGAGCGTCCAGCCGGTCTCGCGACGTTTCTACCACATTGCCAACGAACCGCTGCTATGGCGATATCTTTGCCGAAACTCGTTTACTTTCTGGAAGCCTGAACACTACTTCTTCGCGAAACTGTCGGATCCGAGACCAACTACCATCGAATGGAAAAAGCTATGGCTCCGAAGGAAAGGGCAGAATCACTTGATCAAACGACTTCTAGACGAGATCCTCACGACGAGATATCACCAGCTGAAGAATATCCAGCGCATCTGTCGGTTTGGTTACGACGCCAAAGACTTTCTTTTGGAGCAATGTCACGTCGATGAATCCCATGATGACGTTTTGGCCAGAAGGTACGAGGCAGTTCTCTTGTGGCGAAGCAGCTTGGTATTTCAAGTACACTGCACTCAAGGGTTTTGTGTATTAGTCGATCCCCTCTGATGGTGACATCACAATCATTCTCGGCCCAAGTGGGATACGTCTAGATCCAAAGACCGTTCGGTTACTGAAACGTTCATCCAGGTACTATGCGAATTCAGCCTTGGACAGCATTCACAGGGGCATGGCTGTAGAAGTATGGTCCAAGTGCTATGAGACAGGGACTGATCCGTACTCGGGGCTCGATCGTGCTCTCGGCGCATTCGACCTGTTTGTTCTGCACGACCAGCCCCAAGACCTTGAATACGTATGTTGAACGCCCATCTCCAATGGCGAGGGCATGTTAGCTCACACCTTTTGCCACAGATACTGAGCACACTAGACACGCTCGCCCATAGATTCTTGCTGGAGCACCCAGAACATGAGATCATGTCGACAAGGCAGAAGGCTCTAGCCTTAAATCGATGGCTGAGGGCTCAGAATCTCATGGGGATGGAGAACGAGATCGTCAACTACCACAACCTGAGGAATTGCCTTCTAGGCCACGCCCTGTCCGACGATGAGCACCCGTCGCTTCCCATAATCTCGAGCGCCATATTTGCTTCGGTTGCCGAACGCCTCGGCATGTCAAGCGCATGCTGTGCATTCCCGAGTCATGTCCATGCATCTGTGAAGGCCCCTCCTGGCATGACCTTGGATGGTGATGTGGAAGAGGATCCCAAAGCTGAACCAGAGACCATGTACCTGAACCCGTACAAGTGGGATGGGGAGGTTACGCTCGATGAGCTAAGGAGGGCACTGGTCGAGTTGGGGTGGACTCAAGGGTCAGAGGTGTTCCTTAGGGCGTCGCCTGTGCCAATCATCATCCTCCGAACAGCGGCAAATATCAAAGCCGCCACCAGTCGAATCCAAAATCTCGCCGACCGATCAGGGGAGCCCATCGAGGTCGAAGCGAAGCGGTTGCGGGCGGGTCATCCAGACATTAACGTGGAGGCGGCCAAGTATGCCTCGATGTGGGCGGAACTGATGGTTAAGCCGGTTTCTAGTGTCCACTGGGACCATAGCCTCGAAGCCTTCCTGCACTCGTTTGCCATGTCATGGGGCGAAGACGCCTGGATCGTTCGCAAATATCTTCTTCCGTTGTACGAACAATTCGTCGCATCGCAGCCGCACGTGCGCAACCGCGCCGGATGGGAAAACGTTCGCGAGATCCTGAACATGCTGGACAACCTCGACAGGCGGGAGGCGGTCGTCACCCGTCGCTGGACGCAGGAGATGCAGGAGCGCGTGCGCTACAGGATCGGCCAGGTCTTCCGCCACAAGAGGTACGGATGGATCGGAATCATCAACGGCTGGGCAGCCGGGTCTGCGGGCCTTCCGGTTCCGCATTACCTTGATGGTTACGAGGATGAGGTCCAGTCTCCTACAACTTCTCCCAGATCTTCAGGGGATAGGTTGCACTCAGAAGGCCTTGGCTTAAGGCCTCAGTTGGCCAGAGTGTTTTATACATGCATGTATGTGGCCGTGTCGTCCTCTCATCATCTTCCCTTTTCACTTTTACGCTTGTCTCCACTGTCAACTTCTTGCTAATCGACTAGTCACAACAGGAGTTCTAAGAGACCCAGGATTGACCGCCTGCGTGTGGCTCAGAATAGCATCGAGATTATCACCGATCCTGACTTGATTCCCGAGTCGCTCAAATTCTTGGCGGGCAAGTACTTCAAGCGGTTTGACAGGGAAACCTGCACTTTTATCTCGAACATCAAGGAATCGTATCCTGACGACTAGGTTTTCGTTCGGAAGTTACTGGGGAGGTGAAAAAAGAGGCCGATGGATGCGAAAAAAGGGGCCTCGGGAGATGTGTGTATCATATTGTATCTGTAAAATAGTGTTTTTGGCCCCGGAATTGTTGTAGGAATAAGGAACCGTATGTATACCCTATACAACAAGGCCACTGGGTCACAATGAGATGGATGAGCACATCTGTCTTCAAGTTGTAGGATTCATGATTACTGCCAGATTATCCAGACGGGAACACTATTACAACGAAACTGCATGAGCATGTTTGTCCTCAAAGTGCAGCAGGGTTTATGAATACTACCAGATCAGCTCTAAAATAACGACACTAGATCAGCACCGTGCTTAAATCTGAGTATGTATACATATTATCATTTCATGCTTTATCTTTACGTCTACTTTCGACAACCGCTCGACACAAGCTTTTCTGTCCTCCAGTTCCTCCCGGCTCCGCCTGCCCTTTCCATTCGCTTGAAGAGTAAGTACCCTTTCTACCCAGCCTTTTTATTCGTTTCCGCCCGTTGTCATTAACCGCATTACCCTGAGTGTCATCTCATCTCATTCCATCCCATCGTATTACAATTCCATCCCATGTCATCCCCGCATTTCTGGGTCCCTTGTTTATCGTTGATATGATTCCTCCCTTGAACGAGTGTCGTGTACGGTCGTATGTGCGTTGTCGCGTATATGTATGTATGTGTGTGTGTGTGTGTATGCGTATGTGTATGTGTATGTGTATGGGTATAAAGGGGGGTGGGTATCTCTCTTTGAAAATGCTGAAAAAAAAAAAAAAAAAAAAAAAAAAAAAAAGCAAAACAATGCATCCGGCCAGTTCTTCCCAAAAAATTGTCGTTATAGCGAGTGGACGAGTTTCGTGGCCCAAATAAGAAAATCAAACAAAAACGCCGATTTGATGCAACCCGTTGTTGGTATGAAATTCTCAAAACACCACCTGGGTATCATGCATCATCATCATCTCGACACAGTCTTTTAGTCAACGTCTCTGTTGACAAAGCGGCTCGGTGCAGCTTCTCTCGGGGGTTAGTTCGTCAAGAAGCGGACTCGTCCGCTTTTGGTAAGTCAACCAAGCCATGTAGGGCGTTCAGGAACGGACTAGGAGGAAAAAAGGTCCCAATGGTCCGACCAAGTCACCCTACTGGCAAGGCTGTATATCGCACCGCATCGAAGCGGAGTGCGCGGGCGGTGTTCTCAGAAGAAGAGAATTTGTGTCGCATGAAACAAGCCCGAACGAACCCCTTTCATTTGCGATACCGCCCCGTCTCCTTGCGAACAGCCCAGCCCTTGAGCGCAATACACAAAATCACCCACGCCATCAGCAGCCCAACCAAGCCCATAGTAACGGTGTACATGAACATGGCATCGAGCTGGTAGTGGATCATGCCGCTGACGGTGTCGCTCGCGCTGGCCATGAAGATGATGCCGCCACTAATCAAACCGAAAGCCGCGAGGAGCTCCGTCGGCGGGCGCGAAGGGTACACGGAGCGCGGGGGCTTGAGGTAGGTGATTACATAAGTAAAACCGCGCGCGAAGGAGGCGCCGGTAAGCAGGTTGCCCCACTGCTTGTGCACCATGCTGGAGATCATGCTGTCCTGCGTGTGCGAGGACATCATGATTCCCAAGAGGAGGATGACCAGGGCCGGGATGGGGTTTATGCTGAAGGAGTAGGTTTCGGGCTCGCGGCGGTCGGAGTCCTCGACTTCCACGTCATGGAAGTGGTGCTGCTGGCGGGGTTCCTCGGAGACGCCGGCGGCGTCGGTGACGGTGGTGTTGAGCAAGTCGCGGATGCGAACCGATTCGATGAGCATGCCGCACAGGCCACCGCCGATGAAGAGAACAGTGATGGAGAAGTGCTCGAGATCCGAAGCCGACCATGCGCCGCCCCAGTGGCCGAGATGCTCCAAGAAGATGTTGGTGGCGCCGTAGGTGAAAATCAAGGCACTCTCGACAAACTCGGCAGAGGGTCGCCATTTCTGGCCGGTCTGCTTGGGGCGCACGTTCCAAGCCTTTGGGTATCGTTAGCTAATTGGGCTTCGTTGCGAATATTGTGAAATTCACGGGGAATACGTACCCAACCAACTTCCCCGAAGCAGCCGGCCCAACGTCCGAGCGTAAAAATACCCAACCAGAAGAAGATGCCGCCCTTGATCCAGTGAGCAAGACCATTGAAAATACCGGCGCCCTCCTACAAGCACAACACATTAGCTTCCAATTTCAGAGCCCTCGTTGCACCGCCCTTACGAAAACCCGCGGGAGGTGGAAAGAGGAGTGAAGACTTACAAAGAAACGACCATAGGTCACGATACCTGTGCACAACGCAACGAAACCCAGGGGCAAGATGGCCCGGTCGACCACGTTGTAAGCAAGGATCAAAACCTTCCAGAATCTCTCAGAAATCTTGCCGGCAATCTTCTGAATGGTGGAGACGGCCTTGCCGGAAGCAGGAAGCATGGGTCCAAGAGGCTCGCTGCCGCTGTGGGAGTCGACATCGTAGGAGTCATCGCCGTCATCATACTCCTTGGTATGCAGGTCGACATCGTGAAGAGCGAGTGGCTGCCGGGAAACGTCACCGGGGCTAGACGAACGGGAGGAACTCCGCAGAGCATCGCTGGAAGGCTCAGTTCCCTGGCCACTGTCGTTGGAGAATCGGTAGTCGTCGTTATCGGCGGGCTTGATGTGGCTGTTATGCTCCTCCATGGCCTGGGTCGAAACGGGCATGAAACCCTGGCGCTCCCTGCTGCTACCGTCTGATTGCTTCTTCTTGAACACGCCTGCAACGCTCGCCAAAAGACCAATGACGAACTGGGCCCCAACGAGCCAGGTGACAACCCATCCGAGCTTGTGGTGGGCATTGTTAGGATACAGATCCGGCGTGCTGGCGTTGTAGACGATACCAACGAGCATGCCGCCGACATTGGTAACGAGAAAAGCGAATTGGGCCAGGAGCCTATACCGCGAACGGGCAATAGAGAGCATGACACCTATAGGTCGCTTCAGTCAGCATTTTGGAGCCACAGGCCAGACGGCGGTGTGTTCCTTACCAACTGGGAGCATGAAAACCCAGGCAAGGACCATCAGGGCGATGTGTGCGTAGATGGCGGTCTTGTGATCGGGATGGGCAAAGTATGTGAGAGGGTACTCTTCCTCCGGCCGGGGCTTGTCGGCATCAGTCATTTCCATGCCCCCGTGGCCACCATGGCCGCCCTCACCACCGCCGTGCGCAAGGGCGGTCGGAACGAGCAGTCCCAAAACTGCGGCGCCAGCCAGCGCTGCAAGCAGCGGCCTTGTAGTAACGGACTTCATCTGGTCAAAATCCGTCTAGTCTTCAGTCTGTACTTGGATCCGGGTAGTCGTTATGATGAGGTCAGAGTGTCAAGATGGGATGAAGATTGGCACATTCAACCAGAGTGAGGTTGGTGAGGTGGTGATGGAGACGGTCAAGGATGAGCAGATAGGAAGCTGGCGGTCTTCCTAATCTGCCGTGGTGGATATGAGAGATGGACAATGTAGACAAAGGCGAGTCGAGTGGTGGCTATCAAAACATGGACAGCAAACAGGGGGAGCTCCGGTGTTTTATTGAGATCTCGGGATCGGAAGCGAAAAAGACGAGAAAGGAAAATACATGACGGTGACGAGAAGGATATATCTTGAGAAGGATATATCTTGTCGCTCCATGGAGACACCCCGTAGAAGGACAGGGAAGATTGCGCATGGTCAGGGTATGTGGTGGAGGCAGGGAGACAGGTAGGGATTGGTAATGTCGCCGGCCAAGAGCGACGACAAGACCACGCGGTGCCATCCAAGACTTTCTTCCATTTTTTGCTCCCCACGTCGTCGAAAACACCACGGCACGGCGTCGAGTCAGATCCATCCTCCACAGAGCCGGCGCATCAGCCGACCCCGGAACCGTAGTAGGTAGTTGCTGCCCGGTTGCTGTTTTGGGAGGTTTGGTGATACACTAATGGTGTGCCAATGGTACCTGACGGGCGGTTCATGGTACGTGATGAGTCTGAGGCCGTTGTTCCTGCCAGAAGATCCCGATCGTTGTTCGGGATCATGTTCGCGCCTCCGAGCTATCCGAAGCTTCAAAAGCTTTTTGCTAGCAGGTTGCTAGTACGTACCCTAGGTATTGTCAGGTAATGGCAGGCACCAGGCGGTAAAGTGTTGGTCGCTCCTCGCAGTCTCTCTGCAGCGAGAAACGTCACAAGCACATGAGTACCTGGACAGTCGCAGCAGACTGTGTGGGGCACGTCCCGGCAGAGCTCTCGCTCAGCTGCAGGCGGGCTTGGCGGGGCCTACGGGCAGCGAGCAGATCATGACGGGATTTGAAGATGGGGGCCAGCAGGTCTTGGGAATGGAAAGTTCACACGGCGATTCCACGGCTTTCACTCCAGTTTCCAAGGACTACAACACAGTATTTCCGATGGTGTAGGAGATCCGGTATCGAGAGTGCTTCGGAAGTTCATCCCATCCTCGCCATTGGTTTCATGACCCTTTTCGCTGTCACCCACGGCCTCCTTTCAAAAGGGTTGCGCGGGTCAGCCCTTTTGGTCCACAACAATGCCGGAACCACTCGGGCGAGGACGGATGGTGGCTTGCAAAGCTCCGGCGACCGCGGGCTCGGCGTCAACGCCGGAGGGTAACACGTAACAAACTGTTATCTACAAGTATTTCCCGAGTAAGAATTCAACCTACAAAGCAGTCCGAGGTACGTAACACAAGCTTACGCTCGCACCACCACCCAATATGATATCGTACAAGCTGGCTGGAGGAGTGCAATTCTGCAAAGCTACGCTTATCTCAGGTGAGCATCCTTTGTCTACCAAAGCTACGTCGAACCTGGCGCTGCAAGTGTTTCACCAACAGACCATCGGACGGCACCGAAACGGATTTATCTTTTGTCAGCAAGCGGAAATAACAAGTATCTATCAACACGTGTAGTAGAATCGGGAAGAAGCGTCCATCTGATCATGCTGCAAAGGCCGAAACGACAATTCAATGGCTGTCATCACGCGAGGTCGCATGGAAAGTGGGGAACGCCATGTAGCACAAAAAGCCTCCAAGTCCCGTGGCCGCGCGTGGACAGCCACTGAGCGCCATGCTAAAACTCACATTACCCACCATTGATTTTTTTTTTTTTCTATGGATGTTGCCTGTTCAGGTTCTAGATGCCCCGCGTCTGCGCCCATTTTTGTTGTTTGTCGGGTCTCTCGGACTGTCGAGTCCCCCGAAGCTGATGTCGATCGAGATCTTTGATATCGCAGCCTTGTAAGTAAACTTTTCACAGAACGGACAGAATGCCCCGATGCCCAAGTTCCCTCTCATATCATCGCAAGGGTCTCTCCCCAGGAGTCCAGGAGTTCGAACGTCTCCAGTTCGTTTCACGAGAAATCAAACACTCTCCTCCCCCGCATCCGATCCGAACCTTTTTCCCCCTCACTTCCATTATTGCCATGTCCCGGAGCTATCGTTGTCCTTAAGTCCGCGCCGTAACTGTCACGGTCCACGGAATCGTGAACTGGCTTCGGCTTTTGGGACTTTTGGGCAACGAAACCTTCACCGGATCTCACCAACCCTGTCATCCTCCTGCACGGCACTGCACTGTGATAACTCCACTCACCTGCTGCACACTCGGCAAGGCTACCCAGCATCGCTTAAAATCCCAACCTGCTGTTTTTTGTTTTTTGTTTTATATCCGTTGGCTCGTTCACAAATCCCTTCTTTCGAATCGTACGAAGATGGCTTCCCATGATCCAAACAAGACCGTTACATATCATCCGATTGCCAGTATCTACCCCGCATACGCATTCGATCCCTTTCGGAAAGCAAGGGACCTGAGCTGCCACTCTGCCAGTTATGCACATCTTGGCGATGCATAACGGATGACATAAGACGTGACAGACGTCAAACGCTTATCCCATCTCATAACTCCCATGGTCACTGTTAATGATAGGGCGCGAACATGTTTCCCTTCTCGTCGAGTTGTCTGCCGCTTACATATCGGAGGTTGGGAGGGATTGTTTCCGCCAGACAGCAGTCATCTCTGACCGAACTAATTGGTCAGTCTCATGATTGGTGTGGTCCCTGGATCGCCGCGACGGTACCTGTCAACGTGCGAGAAGCCAACCGCATGGGCACTGTCCTCTAGCGTGGTCTTCACAATCCGTGGATTGTTTTTCTCTTTATCCACCAACTTGCAATCCACATGGGCGGACGTCCCGGACGACGTGTGAAGAAAACTTTTTTTTTTCTTCCTCCATCCCGCGATGTGGGGACGACCCGAGATCGTGCCATGGCTCGCATTGAAAGTAAAAGACATCACGACTTCGCGAAAGCGGTAATCGACTCGGAACACTTACACAATACACAGCACTGATCGACGTTGAATCAGCTGGTCATAGATCCGCTCATCAATCACATGTTACCAAAATTTCTAAGCGGTTTCATCACGTCGCAGAACAGTTTCTACACGTAGTACTGTAGGTTTTCGTTTCACCCGACCCGAAACGTAGAACACCTCTGAGAGGGCAGAAGTGGAATCCACTAACGGCCGGGCCGGAGCGGTCCTCTATGCTCGGGGTGGGGCATCCCGGCTCTCGGTGCGCGACGGCACGACGGGGATCCATATTGGAGCGCAAAAAGACGGGAACCCAACCCGTCCAGGTACTGTTGCAGAAATTCGGTGAGACCGCATCGCCGGGATCCATAGAGTGCCGATGAGCCAGCCCTGTGTCCCCCTCCCGAGAGCCAAACCACAACACAGTTGGCACCGATTTTGAGTTCCTACCTCCCAAGCCTACCTAGGTAGCTACGAAATGTGTTTTTCGGCATTGAAAGCCGTCCCAGACTTGGCGGTCGTCGCTTGTCATCTGAGGCTCTGCTCCCGCAGTGAAAAGCGAGCTAAAGCACCCATTCAGCTCCGTCACAGACTGACGTCACGGGCACGCTAGGGCTGAAAAAGAGTTGTGGTTTTGTTACTGTACAGTATTGCACATCACTGCACTCAATAGGACTGCACATCAACTGCACACCCACTCGCTGTACATACTGCAGCACGTATTCCATCCACACCAGACGCCATTCAAAAACGTGCATTGCACGCGAACCGCGCAGACAATCGTTTCCCACGCTCCAGCCAGGCACGGGAGGTACGGGTACCTATGCCTTGAATCCAGTATGCCGGACTGGACTGGACCGGGCCGCTTCGGTTCGGGTCGACCGGATGCTGGCAACACAACCTAAGATCCGTACAAAAACCGGAACCTCGTCAGGCGAACTCGGTGTTCACAAACCGGCGCGGCCAGTCGTTAGTCCATTGCACCCGGCATCCTGTTAAGGCTACTGGCGATCATTATGTACCCGAAGAGATTCGAGCGCAATGCGCATCACATTCGCGGCTCCGGGAAGAGGGCGAAGCGACAAGCGACGAACGGCACCAGATATCCGACCCCGGGAGCCCGGTTTCTACTTCACCCATCATCATCATCATCATCATCATCCTCATATATCATGCGTAAACCAGCCCATGGACCGGCCGGCTGATTCCCCCCATGAATGACACCGAGAACCTTTCGTTTCACAAGGCCGATCGATCAATCAGCCGCCATCTATCACCACCACCAGCAGTCGTCACCTTCCCTTCCTTTCTCAGTTTATGAAGGATCTGCGTCACCCCTCCAGCAGCCGGTATATGCAACGTTTCCGGCACGCCCTGGTAAATAATCTTGACAAGTTCCATCGGCGTCCATCCATCGCCATCATCCTCCTTGGCAGTAAACGCGCGCAACGTCTCGATCACCTGTTCCTCCCTCTGCTGCCGATGCCGGATATACTCGACAATCTTTGCCGGCCCGTCCTCCACCACCGGTCCGTGGCCCGGATATCCCTTCCCTTTAAACAGCCCCCTCATGCGCTCGAGACTGTCCAGGTACGTCCCCAGATCCTCGTACACGGCCGTCCCGTGCCCCAGCACGTTGTCGCCCGTGAAGAGCGCGTCCTCCTCGGCCAGGTGGAGAACCATGTGATCGACCGTGTGGCCGGGGGTGTGCACCGCTTTCAGCGTGGCGCCCTCTACGCTGAACTCTTGTCCGTCTTCGATGGGAAGTAGTGTTTCGGTGCCGATTTGCTCAAGAGACACGGGGCTGCCGTGGTGGCCTGGTAGGTAGGTGGGTTGGTTCTTGTAGACTTTGATGTTGCTGTTCCAGTCGAGCAGGTGCCGGATCCCGCCCGTGTGGTCGTGGTGCCAGTGGGTGATGATGGCGGCTGATAGGTGAGCCTTTTCCTCGGCGAGGGTCCGTTGTAGGGCGGATATCCAGGAGCGCTCGCCGGCGCCTGAGTCGATGAGGAGACGCTGCGGGCCGGTGCCGACTAGGTAGGTGTTGGTTCCCTGGAGTGTGAATTTGCCGGGGTTGCCGCCTAGGATGCGGATAACGGCCGGGCTGAGGCGGGTGACTTCGGGGAGGGGGATAATTGGTGGTTTGGCTGCTGATGAAGACATTGTTATGGTGCGGCTGGGCTTGTAGTATCTGGCCAGATATGGGATTTTGCAAAGGTGAGATAGCCGTGGATTGGATGATGATGATGATTCCTGACACGATAAACGTCTGGTAGAGAGTTCCAGGAGCCGGAAGGGAGGTGAGGACATCCGGAACTAGGAGTAGTACGGGCACCAAACGAATGACACACGGGGGATAACGTGTGATATAGCTAAGCAAAGGTTTGTGAGAAGTAGTGAAGAATGATGACTGTGTAATTAGTTCCGGATACGTTATACCGCAAAGACTCGGGGCGTTGATTTTTAGGTTCCAAGGAAATCAGGTATAATCTGTAAGCATACTGCCCGAATATGTGCATTTTATGCCCGCAAAAAAGAGTGGGGGAGTCGTATTGCCACCCCGGAGGATTGTAAATTCGATTTTTCTAGTGTCCTGTCTTTTCCCCTGTTTTTTTCCCCTTGTCTTTTCATTCTCCCCTATAACCTTCCCCTGCAATTAAATCCCAGCAATCTAGCTATGGCAAAGACGAAGTTGATTCTTAGCGATATCGATCTCTTATATAAGTAAATAAACCCTTAGTATTAAAGTTATCTTTTTCTCTCTCTCTTATTCTCTCTCTCTCTCTTTAATTCCTTTATTAATTCGCTTACTTACCCTATTTATAAACATTACTGACGATTACCTTAATTCCCAATAGTTCGTTAAGCGGATTAAATACGTTGTCGTCCCGCGAATACCTTCATCTCTTAACGTTGTAAAAGGCCTTACCTTTATAAATATAATTTAGAAGCGTACTTATTTTGGTTGGGTTCGTAATAGAAATTGTAAAAAGATTGAATTCGAAGTTATATTTAAGGGTATTAGTAATATTTATTATTATATAATTGAATTGGGTAAACATTGGTATAAATAGGATAACCGCCTTGAGGTGGTTTGTTGGTGGTAGGAGGTTAAGGGTGTTGTTTATATATATATTAATATTGTTAAATATATTAACGACGTTATTTCTTTTAACGACGACGAGGTTAGTGATGGAACTATTATTTAAACTACTAGTTACTAGTATTGTTCGTTATATTATTTTAACCGTTGGATAAAGCTATTTTTATTCCTTAATATTAGCAAGTTATATTATTTATATTAATCTTTTAATTTAGCCTTTTTAAATTACTTATACTTAGACTTCGCCTTCTTTTTTATTTATAATTCGAAGGTAATACTATCGTTTTTAATAATGGGGATAATTTTAAAATTATTAATACTAACGGTGATATTAATAGCATTCTCCTAATTACGTCAGTCGATAGTTGCCCGGTCGATTTTTTTAATATTAATAAAATGATTTTCGCTATTATTTAGAAAGATGGATATATTATTATTTTTAAAAGATTTGATAACTATAGCCTTTTTATTAAATTATAAAGTATTTTAATACTTTAAAACAATATAAATAATTATAACCTTCTTATCGGTAATGGATTATTATTTACTTAAGTTTTCTTCTTTTTAGTTTTTTATTACTAATTTTGTCTCTTTTCTTAATATCTTTTTAAACGACGAGTTAATTATTATATTAAGAGGTTGGAGAAGGCTAGTAAAGTTATTAGGGATTATAACTAATACTACTTTATAAAGTGTTTCGTCCTTAAATTTGTTACGCATTTGCTAAGTATTATAAAATGGGTATATATTTATAATTAGGAAGAGTTTTTGCTTAATATTATTTTTAATAATAGGAGTGAGCTTATTATTAAATTAATTAATTAATAATTGTTCGTTCTAATACGTTGCCTTATTGAATTATACTTCTATATTTTGGGTACAGAGGGTTTTCTCCTTTATAATCTTATTAAATGTATCTTTTCTATAGAAAATAATAATCGGTTTAAAACGATTAATCTTATTTATAAAGATATATAGAATAAGAGTAGTTTACCGCTTGCTCTATCTATTATAATTAGTCTTGCTTATTATTAATTTGCTTCTTTTTATTAAGTATATATAATTATTAAAATATTCGAACAGGAGGGGGACTTCGTTAAAGTTTATAATATAATTAGAAAGAAATTTTATGCTTATGCTAAGTATAATAGGTTAATTATTAAATTTAATAAACTTATAGGTCAAATTAGTTAGCCTCCAATAATTTCTAAGTTTTTTCCAATAATCTTTAGGTTTTTCCTAGTGAATTTTTCTATGGAGAAATAGAGAGGAGAAATAGAGATGTGAAGAAAAGGATATAGATATATTAATATATTGATATATGAATTTATTTTAAGAACGAGCTAATTTTAGTAAATAATTTAATTGGTAGTCATTAGGCTTAGTAAATAATCCTTTTGTACGCTATATAATAACGTAATAGGAAGTTTTTAAATTAGCTACGAGAAAAGGAGAAATTTTATTAACGTACTTGATCCGGATAAATTATACGAAATAAAGTAGTTGATTCTCGGCGGAACTATATTATTGTAATTAGAATATTCTTTTATTTAGTATATTAAAACTTTTTATATAATTAGTATTTAAGCTTTGGCTATAGAATTTTACTATTTCGATTGATATAGAGCAGTATTTTTTCTCGTTCTTCCTATTATTATTATATAGTAAGACTTAGTATTTTGAAATAGACAGCAACCTTATGTACATAAATATTACGGTAGCTATCGATAGGATAAGCTTTATTATATTAGTAGGCGCTATAACGACGGCGGCGGCGTTATTATTATTATTCAATAATATTACCCTCCTTGTTAGTAATAAGTATTTTAATTTGTATTAAGTACGTTAATACCTACTCTAGCCGTTAGTATTGTACTCCTTAGTTTTTACCCTACTACGATATAACTTTATTAATCTGGATTTTGATTTCGTTAGTATAGTGCTGGTATACTTTACTCTTAGGTTTTTTCTTATTATACTTCCCTTTTATAACTTTGTTGTTGTACGACTTTGGTTTGAGATTAGGGCGTTATTTAGCGCGTTTTTAATTCGATAGAGGAGGAAGAAGTAGAGGAGGTGGAAGTATTGGAAGTATTAGGGGAGTTGGAAGTACCCGAGCTCGTTATACTCGTTATATTAGTTATATTAGGGGTGTTGGGAGAGTTGGGAGTGTTTGAGATGTTTGAGGCTTAAATTCTTATTTGAGCTATCTCTTATTATTATTTAGATAGAATGTCCCAACGCGTAGATTTATCTTTTAATACGTTTAATACTAAGAAAGTATTACAATTATTGACGACGATAAGTTTTATATAGGGTAAAAGAATAAGTGGAAGTTATAGGGCAAGTTATAGGGTAAAAGAAAAGGCATTGGAGGGTGGGGATATTTAAAATTACCATATTGCATATAATTTCTGGCGGGTATGAATATTATAGTATACTTACAGACCATGCCTGATTTCCTTGGAACCTAAAAATCAACGCCCCGAGTCTTTGCGGTACGTTTGGTGTGAAACACGGTGCAGTGGATATTGCGTCCTGGTGAGGCGGGAGTACTGCGTAGAGAGCTAACGGACTGCGGGGTACTGCCGAGCCGAGCTGTCGGCAATGATACCATCGCACACAATCAAAGTCCAGCTACCGCCCGGCTCAAGCACCGGAGATCACTTGGCAGATCGGCCAGATGAGCCGGGCTCGGGATGGATGGTTTGCTGGCCGGGCCCGCCAAGTTCAAGTCCGGTAATTTGGGTATACTTGTAAGAACGTGTTGTAAGTTGTAGCCATAAGAATCTCTTTTCTGTTGATACTAGGTCTTTCAGGAATCTAACCCGCTTGATGGTGTTTGCGTGCTTGTAAGAGTTGCTCCATTCTTTTGAGTCCCTTGGTTGTAAATAATGTGTTTAGAAACTGTTTCAACAGTTTGCTATCTGCGTGGATCTCGCCATGACGGGAGCATTTACATACAGCCGCATCATCGGTCACGAATTGTACAGACGATAGAGGATGGATGTGCTGCCAACCCTTTGGACAATGGCCTAAACCAGAGGCCAGAACACGTTACCACATGGAAAGGAATGAAGTATGGAAGAGAACCAAATCAGCTTCGAGGAAGTATTGATTCTCCAAAGTTTGGTTCTCATTTGACGGTAGCTCGCCTGGGTTGAGGATGGCTCATGGTGGAGGTTCCTTTGTGAATGCAGGCATGGCAGTCACCTCGGTCGAGATGTAGAGGTCTCAGGTACCTCTGTAGCTCTGGTAGGCTGCGGGCCAATCAGAAACAACAGTTACCTACCTTAGTGCGTTGAAAAGTTCCACCCGTTATCCCCTTTCTTGTTATCGATAAGCCTTGCGTAGCGTCCGATAAGCCGTTCAAGTCGCTGCAAGTGCGGTTGGCGTCCATTGATGTTGACGCCGCGGGAATCGGATGGAGATTCTAACCCCGAACAACTTAAAAGCAATCTTGCTACAAGAGAACCAACACAACCAGAGCAGAACTCTGTTACTGCGGGCTCCGTACACGTTACTTTCATAGACGGTAGGATATCTCTTACAGAAATCACCAGCAAATATTGCCAATTGAGGAGGCGCGACAGTTTGACGTGCACGCGGCTAACAAGTCCTCTTATTCCAGGGCACTTAGACCGAACCGCCGGAACCCGTGCTTTTCCCCGAACAGAACGCGATTTGCCGACCTCGCCACGACGCTTACAAGCCATCTCGACTGTATAGAAAGGCCAGGCTGAAAAGAGCCAATTCTCCAGCTGAACTCACCCACCGTTTCGAATCTTACGAGCCGAAAGTCCAGGGACATTATCCGAAGCGTCGAAAGCAACACTCGCCCTCGTTGCTAAACCGGTCACGGACCGCCCCAACGACTGCGGATTCGACACAGTTCCTCTCCTTCAGAAACACTAGCACACACGGGCTTCACATTTGGAGCTTTCTACGAGCGAACGGTCACATCACCATGTCGGCCAACGCTGCGTCCTCCAAGGACCACAAGGTCAAGGAGCCCCAACCCGGCCAGCCAATGTATGGATGTGGTAAGATGGTCCAGTCT